TTACATACGAATTGCGGCCCGAAATTTAAATTTAAAAAGCTTCATTTTCCTTCGCGTTTTATACAGAATTAGGACTATCTGCAGCATCTGTAGATACTGCAGGTAGGTTAAAAATTATGTTTTGTTTTTATTTAAACATTTTGACACTGGTAAAAACATATATGATATTTCTAAAGGTTAAAAAATTTTTTTGACATTAAAATCTGATATTAAAATGTTTTTTTTTTTTATTAAAAAATTACGGCACTAATAAAAACGTTTATGATATTTATTGAAGTTAAAAATGTTAGTATAATTTAGTATAATTCTTAGGTATTATGGCACTAGTAAAAAACTTTTATGATAGTATTTGTATAAATTCAAATTTATCAATTTGGTTTTCTTCTAACCGTTTCATAGTATTTCTAATAAATGTTTCTTTTTCAATAATATTTGTTCTGCAAGTATTTAAGTGAGTGCTTCTTAATTTTATATAGGTATCCTTCTGTACATTTTTCAGAACATCGATGAACACAAAAATATTAGGATGAGCACTGTAGAACAAAGCGTTGAATTTCGAATGAAAAGCCTCACAACTATTAGTAGTGCGCATAGTAGACGCCGAGTATTCTGCCCATAAAAAAGGAGGAAAATTGGACTCGTTTGAAATGTATGTTTCCAATATATAATCAACAAATATTTCTACTTTTTCATTTCTTGGTTGAATAGCCATTATGTAATCTGTAAAACAATCACTCACATCGTTCGAATTTAAAAACGGTAAACCAAAAAATTATTTTAAAAATTTACCGATTTCGGAATTTTTTTTTATACTCACTACTTAGTCAATTGTCTGTATTTTTCGCCACCAGCTCTGGGCTAAGTGAAATCGGCATCCTTTTAAACTAATAGAAGACCAAACTTTTAATAGAGCTAAATGAATCGCCATTTCAAAATCAGCAAAAACTGTTTTTGGTGAATATGTTATGTTGAGTTTGCTACATTCAGATATGATGTGCATAAACGCCTTTTCATATGTTTTAATTTCTTTATTGGGAAGTATAAAAATAAGAGTGGTAAATAATAACCATTTTGTAAACCATGAACTGTAAACATTTGGGTAAATAATTTCGGACAACTTTTAAAGGTCCCATCTACAAAATTGTATCAACTTTACTCAAAAATTTTAAGTTTCAGTAGAAAATAATAAAATGTTTGATGTGTTGTCATTTACAAGTAAAAAATTTTCGTTACGATTTGTAACTAATAAATGACTCATATTATTTAGAGAGATGTGTAATTCATTCTAGTCCACAGGTAACTTTGACATAATAGATGATCGAGCATGGTAAATATTTTTTCTTATTAATGTTAAATCGTATGTTGTCAAAGTGTTTACGTCTTGTGTAAGGTGGCTATGAATAATTTTACATGACTTCTCATTAATATCATCAACAGCTTTACGTTTCACTTGATTACTTGCAGTCTGCCTATTTAATGTTTCAACACACATCTTTTTCGTGGTTTTCGTGATTTAAAACTTTTTTAATAATTACGTTATTATTTAAATGAATATATGCTTTACAAATCTTTTTAGTACAGCAATATCGATCAATATCATTTTTTAAATTTTTATGGAAACGAAATTTATATCCATCGATTACATATATACTACGATTTTTTTCACTTAACATTTCACTCAAAATCTCAACATTCGACATTATAAATAAATTAAAATAAAACAGCACAGAAAAGCGACAGAACGTTATTAGCAGTAGTAAAGCGGAGACTAAGGTATACTTATTGATATCTACGTTATACTGGATTATATTTTATCAGTCAAGATTAAATTATCTAGAGTTAGAAAACCCGGGCCGCAACTCGTCTGTACCCAAAATAAACTCTGTCCGCAATTCGGATTAAACCTTTTTTCGTTGATATCTTTGGGACACAATTAGTATGCAGCCGATATATCACCCCCCAGAACCTTTTTTTTACTCATTTCACTTTTCTTATTTTTCTTTTAAATGCTTGAGCCGTAAGTCCATATTGGATTCTTAATATTTCTTAGTATTCCATCAGTCCGTTATCAATAGAAGTTAATAATAAACATAGACAGTTGTAGACAATATAATTATTATTAGTTTCAAGAAAATCATGAACATTAGATAATTATGATGAATTATTATTATTATTATAGTTTAATATCCTAATGTTCATAGTTAGTTTATATATCTATTAATCAATTATATCTGTGATTATTTAATTTATACTGTATTAATGATAGTGCGTAAATCATGTGTTCAGTGTTCACATTTGCTCTCAGTCCTTTCGTGTAATCGTGTCTCGTTTAAAATTAACCGATCGGTGGACAGAATTTTGACATTATTTTGTGTTTTGACTTATACTTATTATGAAAATAAATGTGAAAATATTATTAATGTTGGTATAGTTTTAAATTAAATCATGTTATATAAAAATGCACTTTACGGAAACTGGAAAAGTATGATAACAAAATCCTCCTAGAAGATATTTGCCCCCTTGACTCCAAATGTACAAAATAGTTATGATTATATCACCTCCTAGAAAAAAAAAAAGATACGCCACTGTCTGTAATATAGATGTAATGTATATTCGAATATTCGAATATCGGTATTCGATGCTACAATACCTATTATTGTTAAACGTTTTGTGTTGCGTGAAAACATAAACGAATAATTTTCACGTATTGTATTTTAGCATCGAATACTGATATTCAAATGGTCGCCACGGACGCGTGGTTATCACATATCAGTCCCCATCGTCAAAAGCGTATATCGAAATACCGCATTACCGCCGTAATCGCGATAATGTTAACCTGTATATATGTAATTAGTATTGTGCATTATTTTATATTTCATATTGTATTAATATATATATATATAATGTAATATATGATACGGCTCAAGGGGAGTGTCATATCCACCAAACACCCCCCTTGTATACGCCACTGCCTTGTAAATTTTACATATACCGTCTTAATATAATCATTTTCATTTATATAAATACATGGTATCTATCAATGTAATATGAGAGGGAGCAAAGCCCCCTACTTAGCATAAGTATATTAAATTTTAAAACACTCCTGTTAAATGAATCCTGGATACGCCACTGGTCTGAACTACACAAAATTTCAAATAGTATTATGTACTATCGTAATACGTTAAAAAAATATAATTTGGTATTAGAAATTTGTTTGGAAATATAATAAATATTACTCGTATAACAACAGTAGTGGCATACAATTATTGAAAAGTATAACTAATTTCAAATTCGATTATATGATCTTATTTCAAAGTACGGGGATTTAATAGTTTTTTTTTTTTTTAATTAATCAATAAGTTAAAAATAATATATATATTTAGTAACCAATATTAAGTTAATTGATATCTACCTTAGAAAATTGAAATAAATTTTGATGTTCAAAATTACACGAACCGACTCTTGCCTAAAACTTTAAAAACTAGAATTCTAATAGTATTAGTTATAATAAATATTAATTAATATTATTTTTATCAGATAAAAATACCTTCTGATATATATATATATATATATTAATTCATTTTTAACATGTGGTTCTGTTTTGCAGATGGTACTGCTCAATGTAAGTAAAGACATGTAATGCTTTCAAAACTATTAAATTATTGTTATTAAGCGTATTTATTTCGAGCTGTCGTCCAATATGCTACATATTGTGTTTTTTTGTTTTCTCCTATAACTTAAAATGCTACTCATAAAAGATATTTCTGTAATAATATTATCTACTAAACGTTTTTTGGACAATGTAGGCCTAAATCCTTAAAATGTGATACGAACGGTTGGTTTACAGCTGGTGCTGTTCGGAATTTTTCCTTTGGTATTGTATTCCAACAAAACAATAATTTGCACTTAATGTATGTTGTCTTGTTTATACGTTCCAATAGACGCTCTGGAGTTACTTCGTTTGTTCACTTTGTGGTCTTGTGCGTGAATCTTCCTTTTTCTTTTCAATTGTAGATTTCTAACTAATTATCTGCTATCTGAATGGGTATACTTAAGATAATAATTGTTCTTCTTTGTTCGTGACGATAACACCCATAGAGTTTTATTATTGTTGTATTTTTTGAACCAACTGAAAAAATAATTCGTTATAATTTATAATAACATGTGATTTCCAAACGCATTTGCCAATGGACCAAATAATAGTTTGAATTTCGGTCCAATTCTTTTCTAAATTGTATAAAGCCTTCGCGCAAAATAAACACAATTATTGTTTTATTATTTCAATGTACAATAAAACCGTGGAAGGCGTACTTAGTTATTGGACGACGGTAATTTTTTTATTTTATTTTATTTATTTGTTATCCTTGTTTTTTTCTCTCTTTTATTTTCACGTAAAACAGGAGAAATGTAATATTACTATTATTGAAAAGCTGATTGTGAATGCTAATGTAAATGACTCTATATACTGTATAATATGTACTTACATTTTATTATATTGTTTATCTTCTCTTGACTCGATTATGAACTATTCATATACTATATAACTTTAGACAAAATATATTATATTGATATAACCCATATTAGTTTTCTAGCATGATGCTCGTATAACCCCGCAATAATGGTGCTTACAAGTAAACGAAAAATATTACGAACAATTATATGTCTTTACCTACTTGATGCATTCTGCTTATTGAGTTTATTGATTATATTCTTGTTTTCTATATATTATATTGTTACATTTTAATAATTAGATTAAGTAGTGTAATTTTATCGTAATGAGTATTAGAACTCGGCCATTCTGTGTGGCGGATTCTGTAAAGTGTATAAGATGACGGGCGTCATAAATAAATTGTTAAATAGACTTTTCGAAGTAATACTTACCGCATAATCATATTTATATTTATTATTTCATAATATGTATACATATATATATCATAATATATACACTTATACATGAGAATTATAATTCATTCATTTTTTTAATTTTTTTTTTTTTTTAGCAAAATTGGATGGCGTTAAAACATACATGCGAATGAGAAGAGTACCGAATCATTTACAGACCAAAGTTATTAAATGGTTTGATTACCTCTGGTTGACGCAAAAATGTTCCGACGAAGAGAAAGCTATTAGCTGTTTACCGGGTAGTTATGAAATTCATTATTTTGTTTTTATTTGAAACCCGTCTAATAGCGTACAATCACATTGCATTTTGTTGAAATTTCTGCGATACTTTGTTTAAACAGATATAGAGCGTTTTAATATTTAGTAAAATGGTCGACAAAAACAAGTATAATTAGTGACAACGTAAATAGGAGAGATTCGGATATAAATAATTCATAAGAACATATGCAATTATTTAATTATTTATTATGTATATAACTCATATATCTCTACGAATTTTGAATACTATTTTGAATTACGGTTTAAAAATATGTTTACTTCAAACGAATACATAATACAATACCTTGGATTTATTTATTTTATTCGTTTAGATAAGCTTAAAGCTGAGATTGCGATAAATGTACATTTGGACACATTGAAAAGAGTAGAGATATTTCAAAACACCGAAGCTGGATTTTTATGTGAGCTAGTGTTGAAATTGAGACCCGTACTTTTTTCTCCTGGAGATTATATCTGCAGAAAAGGTATGAACCTATGCACGGCCTATAGAAACAAAATGTGCCACCGTAATGTTGTCGCAGGCACAGTGGTTGTAAGAATTGAAAACTAATACTATTTCATTTACAGGGGAAGTTGGAAAAGAAATGTACATAGTCAGCAGAGGCAAACTGCAAGTAGTCACCGATGACGGAAAGTCGGTACTAGCTGTTCTTCGAGCAGGGTCTTATTTTGGAGAAATCAGTATACTGAACATGGGCACAGCAGGTAAATAAAAAATTAGTTTAAAATATTAATTGTAAGTGTTATAAATGGAATATATAAAACTTGAGAAAGCGTCTTAGAATTGAAAAAAACAAAGTAAGTGTTACAAATACCCTCGTATACGTGTGCAGTGTTGAATTAAAGATTCTCGGCCTCAATTATCTAATATATATATATATATATATATATAAATAATATTTTGTTTGAGTAGCGAAAATCTATATGCAATATAGTTAAATCATTCTTAGATTTAATTTAATTTTTTCATGTTCAATAACTACTGGATAAGTTAACTTTTAGATCAGTTGTAATTACGTTATGAATCATATTATACAACGTGGAAAAAAATTTAAGTATAAAAAGTATATATATATAATATTGCTGTGTATTAAAAATTAAAAAAAAGGAACTGCAACTCTTTCACACTCTTAAATGCTTAATGTTGTTGCTTATAGGAAACAGAAGAACCGCTTCAGTCAGATCGGTGGGCTACAGCGACCTGTTCGTGCTGTCGAAAAAGGACATGTGGGACGTGCTCAAGGAATACCCAACTGCGAGGATCAGGCTCGAAGCAATAGCGACCAAACGGTTGGAAAAGTACAAAACCGATCCTAGTCCAGATGACAAACTAGAAGGTAAGTAGTACAGGACACTCAAATCACAACTGAAGATGGTAGGTACAAATTACGTACTAATAAACGCAACGCATTTTTCCGGCTCGATTCGTGCAGGTCTAGTCGGACGACGCTGTAAGTCGACCCCTGGGATCGTGGAAAGCCAAATCAAAGTAGAAGAAGAAATGTGGATGCAATCCAGTGAAGCTCTTTTGAGACCGGTGGCAACGTTTAACAACAACATCAACAACAGGTCTTCTTTCAGTCCCACCGCAAGCCCCAGTTTCAGGTAATAATCTTCGACCACGTACACACGCATGCACGCGACACAATTAAGAGTGATAAACTGCTATAAAAGTAGGTAATCTCCTACAGAAATGTAAAGTTAACTTCAACATGAAATAATGTTTGCTCCTTGCAAACCTTATCAAATATTAAATAAAAAATAAATTTTGAACAATACAAATAATTGAAAAATATATAAATCAGTCATATTAAATTAATTTATCGAGTATAAGTATTTGGCGTTTAACAGTAGGTACATGCATTTTTTTGAGACATCACCACTCATTAATTAAGTGAGTAGGAGATTACACCAAGTCAGGTTAAAAGGTTATTCATATTGAGGTATAAATTCGACCGATAACCATAGGAGCACATAAGGGGGTGTTTGGGAGAGATTTTACCAATAAAATAGATGGGGAAATTATATTGGAATAATTTGCATCATCCAACAGGAAATTAAATCTTGTTTAATATATTATTAATAATTAAATATTATTATAACTTATAATATAATTAATTTTAAATATTCATTAATAAAAATTAAAAACTATGGCAACGCAGTTGATTGTGGCATTAGGAATGTGTGGGGGGCAAAGCCCCCCACGGACTCGTGTACTATAAATTATTCCAGCACCCCTGAACTTACACATAATGTGCGCCTATGCCGATAACCATATAATGTGTTACTGATTTATAATTTAGGTCCAACGCCGCGGCCACATTGGAATCGCCTTTATCTAGTAAATACTCGCTGGACCAAGAACACCATCATCAACATGTCCAAGAAACTCAGAAAAATTCAGCCACCACTTCAGGTGACCATTGTCTAGGTTGGGTTGTTGTTATTTACGTTTCTAATGTTTGTTTTTCAACACAGGCGGGGGTACGGATGGGTCAATGGTGTCCGCGCTGAAAGCGGAAATCAACCGACTCCAAGAGCGTCTGATAGCCGTGGAAACGGAGAATTTGTACCTCAACAAAAAAGTCACTCAACAGCGATGGGACATGGACCACAGACTCGCCGAAATCGAGCTACAAATTTGTAAAGACGTCGGGAGCAGTGCAGATAGTAGTTGTGACGATAACGAAAGAAACAAAGAGTCAATAATTTAAAACTTTTTTGAAATTAGATATATTATAAAATAAAATAAAATTTAATAATAATAAACAGATTCATCTGCGCAAAAGACTGACGTCAATATAATATTATACCGAGTTTTAGTTGTGATTAATTTTTTTTACTTTTTTTTTTCTTTTGTTATCATCAGGGTGAAATTGAATTTGTAAAATCCAGAAAACTGCGATTGTTTTGAGCTCATATGATATGAATAGAAGAATTTACTAACAGTGAAGCAGTAAAAATCAAAAACTGTTATTACGCCTCAAACCCTGTGTAATAAAACAATGGAAATAATCGAGTGACTGTCAATAAAGCAATTACAGATTTAAAGTAAAGGACTCTACATAGTAAATTCTTCTTATTTTTCTTATTGAGAATTCTATCATTAGACATTATCATGCCATGTAAATTAAAACTATTATTAAGATAGAGTTTATAGCTGATACAGATTGTGACAAGGCTGGGCATCAACGTATTAAAATATTCAACGTTAGAACATAGGTTTTAATTGATTTTTTTTTCAAATTTTCATAAACAATATTTATTTGAAATACATTGTTCTGTATTATGAAATTAAATCAATTTTCTTTTGTTATCAGGGCCGTCATAAAGTTTAATGAGGCCAGGAGCAACTTAAAGCATGAGGCCTATACAGTGGCAAACCAGGGGTGGTTATGGGGTCAACAAAAAAAAGCAATGGATGTTGTGTCCACCAAAAGTTTGGGGCCTGGGGTAAAATATTCCCAATGCCCCCCTTCTCGAAGGCCATGCCTGTTATTTTCAATGACGAACAACTAATTTTATTTTTCCTTTATAATTTAATAATATTTAAGGTGCGGCCCCACTGGAAGCGATTCTGAGTTTCTGCGTTTCGAGCGTTTCTGCGATTTTACACGCGCGATGTCCACTAGCGATTTTGATCGGGACACTTAAGCGATTTTACATGCGTTTCTACAATTTTACGTCACGCGTGTTCGTTTTATTTTTCATTAGTTTATTCGATCCTCAACCAAGATGACGTTCAGAAAAATGTTGCTGGCTGAATGTGCTGCTTTAATTGACATTATAGTAAATTATCATCCATGTCGAGATCTTTTCCAACGTTGGACCAACATTTTTGGATCTTAGTCCTATTACTGTGGTCTGGGTGTCTAGGATTCCAAATAGCTTCCTGTACGAAGACAGCGGCAGCTATTTGTTCGGACACAACCGATGCGGAAGACATTTTGACAGCGATTAATCGCCGAATATCAAACTATTTTGTTCTTTCAGCGATTACCGCGCGTGTAAAGCTACACGTGACACGCGACACGCGCTCAGTGGGGCCACTATATATGAGTTACATACTTTTGTTAAAATCGCTAAAACGCAAAATCGCTACACGCTATCGCTAAAACGCAAATCGCTTCCAGTGGGGCCGCACCTTAATTATTTAATCATCAAAGATTACGAGGTGTACCAGTGACCAACTTATTGTTTAAAATCTAAAAGTTCAACATATTTCAACCAAGTACATCATTGTAATACTTGGGTTACGTGAACTTAAAATTATGAATTTATTTTTAATTTTAAAATCGTGATAAATTATTTTTACATTAATCTGTGATAGTTGTATAAGTCATAACTGTGACCTATAAATATTTTAACTTAACTTTTTTTCGTCGACTCGCCCAACCTTGGAACGCATAAAAACCAAAGTTTGAACATTTTTGCTTATTTAAACCCACCTAACTATTGAAATATTTTTCTCAGTACAATTTTCTTTTTTATAGAATTGGTTGATATATTTATGTTGCCGTATTTGCACGTATTGTTATTGCTGTGTGCTCCTGTATATTGTGTATTAGGTATTTAATAATGGGGACCAAAAGTATAAATCGGTCAATGATACTGTCTTCTAGATAGAGCCACAAAATTATTATATTTATTCAAAGTTTCTGTTTAATGTTCATTATTTCAAACTATTTACGTAGCGATATTAGATTAATTCTAGCGATTATATACACCTATTTAGGAAAAAATGTACCATGAGCTTTTTGTATATTTTTTTTTAACATAATACAACTATTTACTATCCTTTTTACACAATTTTATTTACATTAGATTGTCATAATCTTAATATCTTATATCTTAATTACCTTCAAGCTACACACAAGCTTGACCTTTTTTTTTTTTATTATAATAATTACTTTAGGCCAGCGTTTTATTTTTTAGAGAATTATTGTAAAAATAATTTATTTGTGAAAAATATATATTGTAAATAAAACATAATATATTATAATATTGTCATTATGTAAAATGTTGATTGTTCTGTTGCTTTATTATTATAGTAAATTATAAATATTATACAAAGTGTTCTCAAATGTCATTAAATGAGAATAAATCAAGTATGAATAGTTATTTTTTAAATTGTAATCATAACGAAATGTATTTAACCTTAAAGTACTTAAAATAAGCAAAGATCAACAATTATATCTATATTATATGAGGTTGATTATTATTAAATCTATATTTACGCGAGTTTAACAAACCTGAATTGTATTACTTATACAGTTAAGTTATACTCTATTTGAACTTTGTAACGTATATAATAAATAATACATAATTGCATACTTGATAAACGTTAAACAGATACTATAGAAATCTAGTTAAATTTAAAAAAACCAAAAAATTTGAAAATAATCTTTTCACGGTTACTGTCTCGTTCAAAAATATTGCAGGACACTTTGTATAATTTTAAAATTATGAGTATTATATTAACTAATTTATAAAACTTTTATTCATTTTTTTTTTTTTTTTTTTTATGTACATTTACCAACAAATTATTAAATTAATTTTTTCCACCATGTAATAGCATCATACATTGATTATACAATTCAAATAAAGTTCATAAAATATTATTTACGGTCTACATATTTTCACATTATTACTGTTTTTATTGTGTATGTCTTCTACTTCTAATACAAATACATCATATTATGAGTTTCTTATTCTTCTTACAATATTTATTTCATTTTATTTTAATACGGGCCGCAGCCCAAAGTACAGAATATAAATTTAATATAATACAATTTAACAATACAAAATGTGTAACTATTAAATATAACAATTAAATAAAAAAAGGAAATAAGCCAAAAAAAAAAATAAAAAAATAAAAGAATTACAAATTTAACTTAAAAACTAAAAGATGGATCATCATTGACAATACACATCATTCTATTTAGCGGTTTGTTACGGAAATAATTTGTCGTACACAGTGGAATAGTGAAATGATAGGAAGAGTGAACTTGGGCACAGGAAATTTTAAAGCTGACCTTGGATAAAAGTTCAGGACAATCGATAGACCCATTGATAAGTTTAACTAGGAAGAACTTGTTAATGGTAATACGTCTATCGGCCTAAGACTGTAAGCCTAACCTATATAGTACTGCGAATAGGGACAAATGGTCGTAGCCGTTTGGACGTGGGCGTTTGAACGTGGGGACAAATGGACGTCAAAAAAAAAAAATTTATACATTTATAAGTTATAAAACCATTGATATTTTATGTTCATAATATAACTAATGGTATTGTATCTTAATATCAAACCTTATCGAATTTTATGAGTTGGGGGCAGTTGTCCGAAAAATAATAAGTACCGGAATCAAAAGACGACGGCATAAAATGTGTTGTCAACATAAAATTTCTAAAAATTATACTATAAAATTATTTTTTTGTTTAAGAAGTTATACTGTTTCATTTGAATGATAATTATATTTTTGATAATAATAACAAAATTAGTTACATATAAAATTAACACAGGTATCAATTATATGAAATAATTATACATTTTTGAATACTTATTTTTTACTACATACTTAAAACTAAAATATGTAATATTTTATACTATTTACGTACTAGTACAGAGAATATTAAAAAAAATGATCAAAAACATATATATTTTTCAAAAGGTTCACATACAATTAAATATTAAGCTAGATATTTATAAACATACATGATATATTACATAGATTTATAACATGAATATGTTTTTTAGATGAATATTAAGAAGAATTGCATGAACAGAAAAGCATTACCCTTCTCTAATTACATTGGTTACTAAAATAATACAAGTCAAAGTTTTAACTCGAAAACATATCCATCATTTAATGTTATACCTACATAATTATATGTTATCATAGTTGTTTAAAATTTGATCCATTTTTATTGAAAATATGCAAACAAAAAAGTAAAAAAAGAATAAAAAGTTTTGTTGAAAACAGTATAACCTATTAGTATTTTTCCCGCTTTGAAAATCGGGGGATATTGTAAAACTTTTATTGATAAAAATTATATAATTGGATTTGGTAATTTTCGATTTAGTCAGTTGGTACTGCTTTTTCAAATTTCGGACCTTATCATTTCTTAGGTCCTTATCATTTTTCGGACAAGTGCCAATCACTCGAATTTTATAGGTACCTACCTTTTATATCTATTTATAAAACTTATTGGTTTAACTTGTAATAATTATCACACTTTATCGAAACACGGTAATACACGAGACACGACAATACACATCTATAACCGTGTTAGTCGTGTAGAAATTGCATTCAAGTGTACATGTAAGATGTCATTAATTAATTCAAATTGCGATGAAGTTTTTTTTAATGAATATTTATGACATTAAAATTTACATATTATAATAAAAATAAATAACTTATTTATTTTATTTACTGATTTATATATTATTTTTTTTACGTCTATTTGTCCCCACGTCCAAACGGCTATTTGTCCTAAATCGTTAGTACTGCATCATAAACATAAGGTCTATGTTCTATTTTTAATAAATTTGCTGCAAAACACAAAAACTTTCATTGGACCCTTTCAAGCTGATTCATATTGCTTGCGGTGTGAGGGTTCCATATTTATTAAGGACATAAGTGTGCATAGGACTTGTTCAAGTTATTTGATCAAATTCAACGGCTATCGGTTATCACAGATGTTTAACAAGTTTTACAGATTTAACACGTTACTCTAACAGTTATATTTTATTTTTATTTATTTTTATGTTAAAATGTTGTGTAATTCTTTCCGAATACCTTTTTTTTATACCGTTATAGTTAAAATTTTTTTACAAAGTTCCCTCATATTGTACTGAATAACACAATTATTATTTTTTTTAAGTTGCATCGGTATTCTTGAATTTGAGAGACATGTTTTAAATCATATGGTAATAAAATTACGCAGCAAATTTAGTATTAACATTTCATTGTAAATTCAATTTGATATTTAGTTGTCTACCTTTGTATATTTTTAGTCGGACATCTCGACGGGGACTCATTTTATATGATTGTTGTAAACGCAACGTTTAAGTCGTGTTCTATATTATATTTTCAATGCAGTAAAATAAAAAAATAATCTTTATTGTTGGATATTCATACAATTGTGTTGCAAACACACGATTTAATCATCAGTCATTTACAATGAATAAAATAAAGAGCATGCGTCATCTAGTTCGTAAGTTGGCCCACCAAATTATTGCAATTTTTTTTTTAATGTAAATTTCTAGAATTTGCAAGTCTAATATTTCACCATGAAACCAAAAAATTTAAATTTCGGCTAACTTCACTAAGCCCACCTGTTTTAACCCAAAACTTTAAAATAAGTGTCAAAAGTAAGCTAATGATTAGCAAGAATTTGTAAGTGAACCGGGCGGCTAGTAAGAACTTTCAAAATTACGAAGCTAGCCCACCCAAGTTGTCCTTCGAAAATAATACCAAACTATTATTTTTAATTTACAAGTATTCGCAGGTCGTTTAAGTGGCCACTAACTTTTAAAGGTGTTTAATTAGTATAATGTATTGACCTGAAATTTCGAAATGGTTGCATCAAAGTTTTGCTGATTTTGAACAAATTTTGAGTTCTGACAAAGTCCCTATAATTATCAAGACACTATATAATACATGCTGAACTTTCCACTATGAATCATTATGATCAGTAATCCATAATCTAACTGTTGCAATTGATACGTTAGCCGAAATAGCAGAAAACAATATAAAATTTGAATTTAATACCGGTATTTTATTAAAAAGCATACAAGCCATTAAATTCTTATTTCTTTAATATTATTGGAATATGTTTAGTAAAAAAAATATCGTAACTAGAGCTCGGAAGTTGTAGGAGTTATATATTTTTCTGTATACTCTCGATTTATAGCAGACCAAGGTAGAAATACGTTCCATACAAAAATGAGTTTAAGTACAAAAATTAAAAATGCATTTTTTTGCATATTTTGGCAATTTTAGAAAAAGTGCATATTACTTAATTTACATATGCTTTTTATGCATATTTTTTAATTTTCTTGAGATTTATATGCCTGTGTAATATTTTCTAAACAATTTGAAATTTTCTTTTATTTTATTTTCGATTAATTAACGTACTAGTCGCCATACCTTACTGTCGTTATATCAATTTAATTTAATGGTGTGGATTTATCTTGATAGCACTAAGGTGAACACTATATAATATTATCGACGTTAACGTTAATCCAATAGCAAAATGGCAAGTGTATTATTAATACTAACATTATATACAATTATACATTAACCATAACTTCACATGTTGAAGTTTTTCGTGCTACAAAAATATACTTTCAGACAATCGTCGTTCGTTTGATATGGAAAATATAAAGAAAGTTCTGATTGTTCAATGCAATACGTTTACAGGTATGACAGTTACAATAACTTATAGGTATGTTTATTGAATTAATAATAAATAAATATAATTTTCAAATAACTTTCATTCTGTTTTTTTTAGATTGAAAATATTACAATTCATAAAAATCACCCCAAAAAATTTTAAATTTAATAGAAACATAAAAAAAATTTATTTTGTATACTTAGTACATTTTTTTTAATATTTAATAAAAAAATGTTTATATATTAAATAATTTTTTTTGCATATTTAACATTTTTTCATGCATATTTTACAATTTTTTCGTGCATATTTACATGCATATTTTGCCTTTTTTAGCTCCTACAACTTCCGAGCCCTAGTCGTAACCAAATATTTTCCATCATCAACATTAAATTATGGTTTAGTAAGTCAAATGGTTAAAGAAACTATCAGAAGTTTTGAAAAATTAAAAAAAGATGACAATTTTCAGAAAGTTTAGGAGAAGGCTACTGAAAATAACGGCTTTAATGAATCTAAACTACCCTGAATTAATTCAGTTTCATTGAGATTAGGTAGGGGTAAAAAAACAAAAATATAGACTATTCAAGAACATTTTTATATACATTTATTTTTTGGAATTATAGATTAATTAATGTGTTTGAATTTTAAATTAAAAAAAAAAAATGATTTAAATTTGTTGAATTAACTGTGTAATGTTTTACTTAAAGACATTCATAGAAATCTGTAAAAAAAAAAAAATTTAATACATACATAGTAAAATCAAATTTGATTTATCAGGTGAGATCAAAATAATAAATAGATTATTTATAAATAATTAATGTTATATAATTATAAAAAAGAAAAATTATATTACATTTAAAGATAATCAGAAAGAATTTATAAGTTATTCAAATATATTAAGGATCTATTTAATACGATAAGTTCTTTTTATTCTTACGAGTAAATATATATGTTAAATATTTTAAACTATGTATAAAATTGAATAACAATAAATGTGAATAGTATGTATAAATATTTATACTTACGAGTATAGTTAATTTTAAAACATTGAAATATTTTTATATGCCGAAACGGCCACGTTGAAATGTTCTAGATCAATTATTACTTCTTTATAACTGAATTGAACTATACAAAATAACTGGTGCTGCTTTTGTTAACAAAACTAAATTATAAAACATATTAATAACATTCGATTAAAAATAAAACAGCAAATCATTTTTAAACTACTTACTTACAAAATAACATTTTTATTTATGTTTGCTTTTATTGTGGTTTATTAACATTGAGAAAATCGAATAACATAGACGCATCGTCTATAAAAAGATACAATATTTAGATACTATCCACAAAAAATCGAAATACACTTAAGTCTTAAACCAAAAATAAATACAAAAAATAGTATAATATTATTCTGTTCTATGAAATTTGAATATTTAATGTAATTATAAATGTTAATATTTAACCATTCATTAATTAAAATAAAACATTTGATAAAGTAACTATTTACTCTATTTTCTAATCATCAATGGAAGAACTGTATGTGTGTGTGTCATACCTCATAACTAGTACGCATTCTTAATTTTAATGTTGATTTAAAATAAATGTATTTATTCATTAAATTAGTCTTTAATATACGTACATGAGAAAACATTTCCAGATTGACGATCTTAGTGTCTGTAAATTTCAGTTTCAGCTGATTGGCATTGTTCATATTCATAGCACACACAATTAGTTTTCTACTTTCCATATTCATATCCATCCAATTACTGCTATACAAAGCAAAAATGATTGCATCTTTCTAAATAATTAAATTAAGAATTAAATTAAGAACTCAATATTAAATTTTATTTATTTTATGTCATATTTTTATTCTTATACAATCTAATTCAAACGTATATCTTTTAACTCATAAAATATTTTCAGTTTTGAAGAAATTTGAAAATAATTACATTAATAATTTATGCTGTTAGTTAAAGATAGCTGATATATTTTTTATTTCTATACCGCAAGTACAGGAAATTAATGTTTAGTTTGGCAAAAAATTAATTTAGCGAGGTAATTTATAATATTAACTTTAAGGAAAAAAACATTATAAAATTCAATATGTTTCATAATGTATTAATTTATTTGAATATTAAGTATAAATCAATACGTCACATTATTATGTATTTATTATGATAACTGATGAGTTAAACAAATATTCAAATTTAATGCAAACAGTCAAATAAAATTATTACAAATTAATCTTTACTTTTTCATTGATTGTTCCAAACAAAACACAAGTCACATATAACTGAAAAGTGAATACTGGAAGTACAATGAACAGCTTTATTGAAAGTATTGAATCTCTAGTATCACCTTCATCAAAACTCTAAACCAGCATGAAATCATTATAATACAATATTATGAAATTAGATAGTTTCAAAACATTATGAAAACAATTTTTTTTTAATATTATTGATGAATTATTAAATAATTATTTTATTAGTATTTCACTCACCATTGCAGCAATAAACCAAATAAAAACATGTGAACTTGCCGCCACGAAAATTTGTGATAACGTGATTGTTCGGACAATCTTATAATAGTCATTCATTTTTCTATAACAAAAATAAATCTAAGAAAATTTGATATTGAACCCAACATCTTATCTTTAAAGTTATAATACAAAATAAGTACAATGTCTAAACCTCACGCAACCAGTGGCGTAGGAAGATTCGCTATCGCCTCTGGCAAACTTAGAATAAAACACCATTTACCCGATTAAAAATTTGATATGATGGTATAATTTTTAATTTTTAATTTTACTAACCTTTTATTTTAAGAACACAATTTATACGTTACTATTACAGTGTAAATTTTGAACTTTGAAAATTTACAATTTTCGCTTTAAAAACAGTGAATTAATTGATAATTTTTTCTAGACGAATTCTCTTGTGCTATTTTTATAGTTAGAATTTTAAATTAAATTAGAAATAAACTAATCTTACTTTCCGATTAATGGAACGCTAACTATAAGCAATTCGTTAAAACATTTTGATTTGTATTCAATTATAATACAATCAGGTTAAAATCTATTCTCTTATTATAAATAATTAATTTCGTTGTGTAATTATTAAATATTTATTAACATAATTTGTATAATAATTAAGTTATTAAATATTTTTTATTTTCTGTACTGAGCCCATTTCAAGAGCGTTTATAATATAAATAATAAATAATAAATAATAAATAATAATAATAAATAATAAAAAAACAAACCCCAGTGTTTCGGAACAGGTACAACATAAACGAAGGTACCAACTATTGTCGATCAATTATTAATAGCTTTGAAATTATTCGAAAGGACAAAAATAAACCTCGTTGGTAACTCATGTTGAAAAAAAAAATGAAAATATTCTCTTACCAAGAATAAAATTAGATCGCTTACGTTAAGATATTTTTGTGGTCTGAAAGTATCTGTTTTAGGTCATCGTTAACTTTACGTTTCTTCTCTGACGTCGTTAAACCATTGGTACCTGTAAGAATTAATCGAACCGAGATAAATAATTACCACCGGATACGCAGTTTGCTATTCCGAAGATCTAGACCGGTGGTTTTCAATTTGGGGGTCGCGACCCCCAAGAGGCTTGCGAATCATAGATTTGGGGGTCGCTAAAAATAATGAATGAAATGATTTTTCCATATTATTTATAAATAAAATAAAGTTGATTATTCATTTTGTGAAATTTTTTAGGTGTAAATCAATCAAAATTGTTTATCATGTAAATATTTTATTAGTAATTAAATCAAATTTTGATGAATAAAACAAAAGGAATCGCACTACAAATTAATTAAAAAAAATGGGAAGTCACGATCCGAAAAAGGTTGAACACCACTGCTCTAGACGAGTACAAAACCAGCTGGAGTTCAAGTCCGATACGGCCCCGAGTAAGGGCTAGCGACGGATAGATATTACCACGTACTCGAACGGCGGTCCATCGCACGTCCGTAGCCCAACGACTGGATGGCGTGGCAAACCGTTTCCAGTTGGCAAGTGAGCGCGAAGCACATGGTTATCATGAATATGTCGAATATCACGGTGAAGTACGTGAAGCAAATGCCGATTATCGTCTCAATGAAGAAGTACACGTAGAAGTGTTCGTTGTACGTCTCCTCGGATGCCATGATGTACACGTTGAACACGTTCAGCCGGTACGTATTGTACGACCCATCCAGGTTCCGTATCCTGATCTTGGTGTTGTTCAGTATCAGCGGGCTCGAGTTCCAGCAGATCAGCGCGAAGAACGTCAACGACGAGCATATGTACGTGATCTGCACGCACAGCCGCCGCCATTTTTTGAAAACGTTCACGTCGTAGTGCTTGTACTTCATGAACCCGAAACCGGTGACGTCGATGCACTTCCATATGTCCTCGATGTAGTACAGAATATTGATCACCTTGCAACAGGAGAACACGAAGTTATCGATGCACCCGATGTACAGGATGAACGCGGTCACGTCGTTCATCAGATGGTACAGACCGATCGGGAACAACAGGCACACGCTGAGCGTCAACAACCCGAAGAACACGATCACGATGTGATACATGTTGTAACCGAACAGCGTCTTGGTGTTGGGGTGCAGTACTTGATACAAGCCCACGTATTTGGACAGCGTGAAATTGAACACGTAATCGTTCTCCTTGCCCGCTTTCATTTCGATCATTGCTCGTTTTCCTGCGTATGCGATGCGCCTGTCGACAATCAAATCGAACGCGATCGCATTGTTTTATCGACTCACTAACGGTTAACTTTCGGTTGAGCTCTTTACACTTGTCGTACACGCACACGCATAAGCATTTAGGGCCGGCGAAAATTTTTAAGGGCCCTGGGTCCGATCGGTTCCAGATCCCCTTTGCTAACACTTGTTGGGACAAGATATACATACATACTACTTTTACATACTTTAGTACAATAAGAATATTTAAATTTGCATCTTATGCTACGGCAAATGAGATCATAAAATAATTTTGTATAAAAGGCTGAGACGACGGGCCCTCTCGGAGCTACGAGCCCCGAGACAATCACTACCTGCCCTGTATGTAGTGGTTAACGCGCATAATTATCGCGACAATTTGAAACGATACATTTAATTACACGTCGTGATTTCGACCAATCAATCCGTATACCAAATAATAATAAACTATTATTTGTAATACGTTTGAACGAACGTAACACTTGATATGCCTCAGTCGAGTAATATTATTTTAACATTTAAAAAAATCATGATTGCTTTCATTCAAAAGCGTTCGGTGTATTGATTTTTTTAAGTTTTAAATATATGTTCAAATATTTTTTACTCAACAATACAATACCTTTAGATCTTTGATGTAGACTTTAGGCCAGAGTTGTAGTTCAACTTTTCACTGGTAATATCTATTATCAGTTTTTATAGATATTAATTATAAGTTGAAGTTACATTATTACCTATGGTAATACCAAGCCCTTGATGTATTATAGTAGGTCAAAGAAATAATAAGTTGACTTTTTTAATTGTTAAAATGATTGGATTCCGTGACAAAACAAGGTGAAATAAAATATGACGTTTATTTTATTTATTAAGTCATGTAACATATCTAATATGTTTATATCTATTAATAAAAATTCAAGGCTTAGGTAGATGAAGGATAACATTGTCAAAAATTTAAATTTATGAGCTATCACCATTTATGCATTTTGATCATTTTTTTTATTTATTTTTTTATATTTTGGATTTAAATATTAATTAAGTCATATTTTAATGATATTATACAGGTATGTTAAAAAAATGTCATATTATTCGTAATTACGAATATAAATATAAACTATGAACTGTATAGGGTTAGGTTTGAGATTGAAATTAAGTTTAAGGTATGGTACAGAATATATACTCGTAATTATATTATTGTTTTTGTGATGATATTAATCTTAACGTTTTATATTTAGTAGATTCTACTGTAAGAATATGATGGTTGTTAAAGTGACGTTTTAATATTATTTTCGATGATTATTACGTTATATTACGTATTATAAATATCAATACAATACAAAATTGTAATAAAATATGACAATACCAATTCTTTAAACCAAAAATAATTTTTACGTTATACAAAATATAAATTAAATTAAATTAAATTAAATACTGTTTTTACTTCCATAACCGACTTTTTTATTAATCAATTCAAATTCATTAGTTATAAAATTTCGATTACATTTTTTATGTATACAAATAAATCAATATGACCTAGTTCACAAGTGAATTGAAGAAAAATGTAATTACTCGTGTATAAATTAACAAAACCAAAAATATATAAACATTATTAAGCTAATTTAAAAATTTAGTTTTGTTTTAAATGTATTATAAAATACTCGTACATAAAAATAAATAAATGTTGATAATTAGAGTGAAATATTGAGGTTCTAAAAATCAAAAAATTTTAAAAATAAATTGAAAAATAATTTTCATACGTCCATCACAATGATCCCCCCTCATCCAGAAATATGTGATTTTTTTCATGTTTATAATTAGTACGTAATTTGTATGAATTTGTACGACCATTTTTAAAATTTGTACGGAGTTCGTTCACCAAGAAAAATTTGTTTTCGGCGGGAGGAGCTGGAATAACGGTATTCCAGCCCTTCCCACCAGTAAAAATACACGTTATACAAAAATTTATTTTGCATATAATTAGTACGCAATTTTTATGAATTTGTACGACCATTTTATCACTTTTATTGATTAGCAAAGTGTTATATCAATAAAATATAAAATGTTTTTAAAAGAATTCTGTATGCTTAAAATCTCTTGCATCATTATATTCATAATTTTATTATTATTATTTATACAAAGGCATATTGCAAACACACTATTTCTACTTTAAACATCCATTTGTTAGATAACAATGGCATGGGATAAAAATAGTAATTATTTTTATTTTCTTAAGAAATATCAGATAGTATGTATTTTACTCGTATTTATAATATACTTGTATATTACATAAACTAATAACAGTTTATTTCAATAATTGAGTTATTCAGTATTGTGTTTACTTTTGGAACTTTGAAGTAGGGCAGTATTTTTGTAAATGTTTCATTTTATTTTCTCTTCTGAGAAATTTTTAGAAATATTATTCTATAAAATAATAATTCGTCAACAATATTATGAACGATATCAGAAAGAAAACCAGCAGTCAATTCTTTTAGGATCATTGACGTGATATTGCACTTCAAAAATCGTGCCATAGATTTAGGGGCGGATTGGCAATTATTTTCGACCCAGGAAATATGAAACAAATCGGCCCATGAACCGCAAATTAAACTACTTTACCCCTCCTCCCTCCAAAAAAAGAAATGCTTTATTTTACATTAATTTCAAAATTGGTTTAGTTTCACCCCTTAATTAGTAAAATCTTCAATAACTTTACTATAATTATATCTATAATAGTTTTGGGTAAGTCAAATGATTAATCAGTTCCAACTTGAACTTGAAGTTTGATCTTAATACATCTTTAAATATATATTTATTTTTTTAATAATTTTTATTTATTTTACAAAATAACTTTTTTTTGTGATTATATAATAATATTGAGCAGCCCTAACAAGGACTGGCAAATCGGGAAGATTCCCGATTTCCCAATAGGCCAATCCGCCCCTGTATAGATTTAAATGACAATAAAAAGGTAAGCATAACTACATATTATATATACCATTTATTTATTCCCTTATATTATAATAATAAGAAGAATATTAATTATTAAAAAATATGAAAAATCGCCTTTTTTACATACTACATATTTCTATTTTTAAATTTTTTATTAACTATTTATATTCCATTTACAAAAATTTTACTTAAAAATTAAAATTTTACTGACTAGTTTTTATATTGTATACATTATGATTTCGCATGAAACTTTAGTAGTTTCTTTGACAGGTATTGGTTTTTTTTTAGGTCGTCAAATAACTCCCAATGTTCGTTAAATCTTTTCACATGTGTTTTATAATGGCCTACAGAATTTCTTAAATTATTATTCCCTCTACGAAAATGTATCACTCCACGAAGTTCATACGACTTTTCATTAATGGTTATGACTTTTGGAATATCATATAGTTTTAAATCTAATGTATATCCTGCATCATTGCCGTGTTCAACGTTTTCACATGAAAAAATAATAGGTATATTCAAAATGTTGACCTACGATAAGTACTTAAGTTATTAAAAAGATAATCATACCTTTCCAAAACAGAATTTCAACGAAAATAAGCACTGGCGAAATCTTCGATTCAATATTCTGAAATCTAGTGCAGTTGATGAAGCGTTTTTACCTAACCTACCTGAGAAATACGGAGTTACAACTTATGTATGTTGTTGTGGGGACCTTTTATAATAACATATGTAATATGCAATATATGAGCTTATATTATGAGTAGGCTTAGGGACTTAAAGCTCTAAAAAATACACAAATATGCTTCTAAAAATCATTAAAATATGCATTTACACGCATTAAAAAAAAAAAAATGACCACATAGTTCACAAAATAAAACGTGTCCATCGAATTTAAATGTATTTTTAAACTCCGAAACAAAACTTTGTAGTCGGCTACTCGTAGACTGTTGTACTTTTGGCATTACACAATTTTACAAAATATACGCGTACGACGTTTTACGTATGATTCGACGTTGCGTGGTTGCGAGACGCAAAAAAAACGACGGATAATAATCGACTGAACTGAACACTAAACAAATAATCTATTATTCTCAGAGTTGGGTGAATTTATGTATAAAAGTTTTATACACCATGATGTATTATATATATAATATATTTTTATACACGTATAAAAATATAAAACGTATAAATTGTTATTTCTATTTTTTCTTTCATAAAATATTTAAATTATTATTAAATATTTTTTATACATACCTAGAGTATAAATAATAATTGTTTTTACTGTAATTTGGATAATGTCTTAAAATCCAATTGCTAATTTTGTATTGCTTATGACAGTTTATTTAATATTGTAATCACTAATTAGTAATTACTAATTGATAATTATTTCTTATTAGTTTCTTACTTTATTTACCATTAGTAATAGAAAATTTGTATTTACTATTTACAAATAAATCCGAATTTTTCTCGGTGAACAAACTCCGTACAAATTTTGAAAATGGTCGTACAAATTCATACAAGTTACGTACTAATTATTCGCAAAATACATTTTTATAAAACGTGTATTTTTACTGGTGGGAGGAGCTGGAATAATGTTATTCTAGCCCCTCCCGCGAAAAACGAATTTTTCTCGGTGAACGAGCTCTGTACAAATTTTGAAAATGGTCGTACAAATTCATACAAATTACGTACTAATTATAAACATGAAAAAAATCACATTTTCTGGATGGGAGGGGGCAGGGTAATGGATGTAATTTTCATACCTTAAAGATTAATTAATTTATAATAATTAATATGGTCTGAAAATTTAAACAGAGAAATTGGTATTTCATGAAGTAAGAAATATTATATTAAACAGTACGAAGCGAAAAATGTATATAAAATCTAAATGCTTGATCAATTTACAAATTTATATTATTATTATATGAGTACTATTTTTATAAGTTGATTAATTATTAAAAAAAATATTTATATTGCTCTCTACAACACTCAACACTAGATGGTTTCAATCAGTGGCGTATCCATGGGGTAGTTTTGGTAGTCAGAACTCCCCCTCCCATGAACCTTACCTTAATTAAGGTAACTTTTACATGAAACACGGTTTTTTCTTTGACATTTTTATGTTTTAAAATTTTGACTTGGAAACCATATTAATAGTTTGTACAAACACTATAAACGTATTATACACACGCTGCACATACACACACAAGTCATAATATTATGATCATATTTAGATACTTTACTACTACTTTGATAATTTTTGGTTGGGAACATATTATTTAGGTTTTTTACAACGGTTGATTCTAAATCGGTTGCTGGTCCCGATAATTAAGATAAAAGCGATAGCATGGTCTGTGTTCAAATTTTATTTTGGGTATACCTATTGCATTCACGACTCGCCGATCATTTGACACAAGCACCTTACTGTGTAAAACTAATAGTTATTACTAATAACTTATTAGTAAATAGTTGGTCGTTGCTCGTTGGTTTCTCACTATTTTATTTACTACTCGTTTATTCATTTATATTTGACATTTGTATTCCATTAAATTTGTTTTATTTTAATTTGACAAATCTAAGACGTCTAAAAATTCCATTATGGTAAGATATTTTTAAAATTTAATTTTTATATACCTAAGTGATTGGACAAAAAATATTCTAATATCTAATATTTATGTTCCTATATTAGTTCCTATTTCCTAAATTGTTAATATTATTATTATAGGCAAATTTTCTAACAAATAAGCAGACTAGAAAAATAAATTATTTTTTTTTTACCATGAGTAAGCTAATCCATTCTGAAATAATTAAACCAATCTCCGGAATCTAATTAAACCAATCTTCAGCTCGTTTAATACATTGATATGAGAAAATTGTTCTCTTTTTGACAGCCACTCTTTAGTCCAAACCAAACGTTATATAGTATTTTTCTTTGATAAAACAGCAATTGCCACAACCACTGTTATCAATTGGGTCGAACTCATGACGAGCAAAAAAAAAAAATCGCAACTTTTTTCAAATACTTCAAAAAATTACCATTGTGTATAGACATGTTTTATACAATTAGATATAATTATAAATAAATAATTATACGTTTACTTTTCGTTAATTTTCATCTATGCATATTTTGAATATGGTGTCCCATCAAAATATCTCCGGTAATAATATCTCCGACAAAATGTCTCCGTCAAAATATCTCCGTTAAAAATATTTCCGTTAACAATATCTCCGATATGAAATTTCTCCACAAAAAATATTTCAGATTTGATTATTATAATTATTATTATTTATTATAAATGTAAAATTAAATTATCTCACAATTATGCATTAATTAAGTAACATTTATTATTATTTATTATAAATTAAAAATTTTCTCACGCTTCTTACTGTTTTAAAATGTTGACAATATTGTTAAATTCAACTCGTCTTTATCGGCAAACCTATGTAGATAAACGATAATTTTCCTTCACGAAACAACCTCGAAAGATTTATAATTAAAAACATAATACATTTCTAAATTTCTCTTAGAAATTCTCTCATTCGGTATATATATTATCAATACTTGTTATATTATATTTTACTAATATGCTGTTGTATAATATCTACATTAAAAATATTCATTGTTTTCTCTTAAAATTATTTGTACCAGATATATTATTACCGGAGATATTTTGATGGAGATATTGTTACCAGAGATATTTTGTGTTGGATATATTTTGACAGAGATATTTTAACGTTGAACCGTTTATATTACAAATAGTTTTGGAAGGAATTCTTATTGTGCGCTATCAATAAAATACGGATGCTAAGTTAGGTTTCTTTATGAATATACAAACGTACCTTGTAGGTTTTTTTCAGTCGAAGACTCAATTGTAGTTCATATGATTCATATGATAATATATATTATTTACCACATGTATTGCAATGAAGAGGATAAAACAAGTAGTGTCGTGTCGAAAAAATACACGTCCTGTCTTTATGATTGCTAAGTAAACAAAGCAATTAACGTCACGCATCCTTACGTTTACTTTTACTTATTGTTTACATGGAAAACTTTATGATATTAATTATCGTAGAATAATTTATTTTTATACAACTTAATTGGAATGAAAATTAAGAATGTATAATTATATAAATTCGATATTCATCGCAATTTTACTTCTATTTTGACCGAGATGGACAAATATATTATTCCCGGCGATGTATTGATTAGGTACCTAATCAAAAACTGCGGTTTTTTGGAAAAATTGTACAACATTTGTTATTATTATTATATATTTTCTTCTATAATGCATGGTGGTTTTGTTGCTAAACACGTCTGCACACTACTAAATATTGGAATAAAATGAACTATTATACACCAGCCGCAAAGTAAAGTCGCATATAGGAAACCAGTCGGCACGCAGCGTTCAGTAGTTGCGGCCAGCCGCAGATAGGAAACCGTACCTTTAGTCGGTTTCGCGTACTTCGTAATCGTACTTCATGTCTGTTTCCACCCAATAATCTACCCGATTCGAACGACGGTCGTGTTCCGAATTTATCCGTATACCTATCTAAGTCGGAGCTTGACTTCGCCACCCGTATTATCATATTAGAATCGCAACGCGTTCATTTTGCCGTACTGCGCCGTGAGCTGTCACATACCGCGCGCGTGTCGTCTAGGTCCTTTTCCAAATTGTCACCTTTTATTGATAGCGACTCGGTGATTCGGGTAGGCGGTCGCTTGAAACATTCAATGTTAACGTACGAGTGTAAGCACCCTATACTATTGGCTAAAAAGTCACACTTAGCTAGATTAATAGGTGAAAGATGGCATCGTATAACATGTCACGCGGGACCACGGGTAATGGCGGCGCTCATACTACGACAGTATTGGATCTTTTCGATCAGGTTGGTGTTGTATAAAATAGTATCATGTTGTACGGTGTGTGTGCGATTAAACGCAAAACCAGTTCACCCCTTTATGGCAGATTTGCCCGCCTCGCGCGTTCAGCAGTGTAGGCCTTTTACCCATGTTGGCATTGATTTCGCCGGACCGTTGCAAATGCGCGAACTTGGACTTCGAAAATCCCGCATTGTCAAAATATACATATCCGTATTCGTTTGTTTCACCGTTAAGGCCGTGCATTTAGAGGTGGTGTCCGACTTGTCGACGAACGCGTTTCTGGCCGTGTTCGACCGTTTTGTCACCCGGCGGGGGTGGCCCACTGATGTATACACCGATTGCGGGACGAATTTTATTGGGGCCAATAAACAGTTACACTCGCTGATTAATAATGCAGATGGTAAAGTAGCCTAAGCCAATGCGCGCAACGCTTGCGAATGGCATTTTAATCCGCCAAGCGCCCCGCACTTCGGGGGTTTGTGGGAGGCGGCGGTTCGTTCAACAAAAAGGTTGTTGACCCGGGTGATCGGCGTTCATTCGCTTACATACGAGGAGTTTACCACCGTACTAACACGCATAGAGGCCGTGTTGAACTCTCGGCCACTAACTCCCACGTCTACCGACCCCCACGACCTTGAGTGTTTGACGCCGGGGCATTTTTTGATCGGCCAGCCATTGTTAGCCGTACCGCCGTGATCGCGTCCCGATGAAAAACGTAACCTCCGGGATAGGTGGAAACTGCTCGACCAACGTCACCAGGCTTTTTGGCGGCGTTGGTCAGCCGAGTACTTGACCACGCTTCAGGAACGACCTAAGTGGACTCACAACGTGCCTAATTTAAACGTCAACGATATGGTAGTAATCATAGATAATAACAGTGCTCCACTAATGTGGCGGCTTGGTCGTGTAATGGAGGTGTTACCGGGGGATGATAATATAGTACGTGTCGTCAAGGTATTGACCAGTACTGGGTTAATTAGTTAACCGGTGGTCAAACTAGTCCCTCTTTTATTTATTTATTTTCTTTAGTACTTGTTCTTATTTTTTTTATATACAACATCACCACACCATATGTTCCTTACTAAGTGTTGTTATTATGATATTTTTGTATTATTATTGATCTCCATCGTAATTTATATTGTCTCCAGATGTTTATTTTGTTATTTATTTTGATAACGTAAAAATTTTTTTTTTTTTTGGTATCACATTGTAGCGCACATTGTTCACTTCTTCACCTCGCACAAACCTATCGCCACCACGCGTTGACGTATCCATGATCAGTCCAGTGACGCCAAGCCTCACGGGGGGAGGATGTTGACGCGCGACACCAGTTTTTCGCGCCTATTGAAATGCGGCAACCGGTCTACACGATGGCGCTTCGGGCGCAGGATTTTCTAGAAGCTGCCCGCCGCCCGATCGCCGTTCTTGGGACGGCTGGCGAGACTGCGTGTCGCCTCGGTGCTGTCGTTTTTCCACCTGCATGGAGATCGGGTCTCGCGACTGTCGAGCGTTAACGACCGTTCTGCCCCAGGTGCTTGTCACGGGTACAATCCGAACTTTCGCGAACGACGTTCCTCTTTTTTATAACTCTTTTTTATTGGTGTAATTTTGCGTACGTGTGTCATTTTGTTCGCGTCAGTAGTGTGAAAGGCGCGACGACAGGTATTCCCATTGTATTGGCCGAACCACGTGTGTGTCGCCAGTCATCGCACGTTTGAGACGTGGGGGATCAACCAGATGCGTCCTTCCTACCACGAGGAAGCTGTTTTGAGCTGTATGCCGTCCTCATATTGGCTTTGAGAAAGATTTGGCCGTGTTCCGTGCCGAACTCCCCGACGTCGTACGGTGGTTGTTATTGTGGTGCGGCGGATCAACCGGGAAGTGCGGGGTGACGGTGTTCCGGAAAGTGCGGTGACGTCAGTTGGCAGTTGATTTGATTTATATAATTATATTTTTTTGTATAACATATTATTAATTTTCAGTGTCCAATTAATCTGTATTTATAAGTTGGTTATCCCGATCCTGTCTATCATCTGCGCAAGTTGCGCCAGAAAACTGCATAAATCGTAAGATCTGTCGCAGCGAAAACAGAGTTAAAGCATTTGCTTATTTTTATGGATTGACTTAAAGTGAAGCAGAGTGCTATAGAAGTGTATGTCAAGTTATAACACGTACAATTATGAAATTTGAAAGTGCCTTTTTTTGATTTTTTCAGCAATTTTTCAAAAAAATGCTTATTTTCAGTTTTTCTGATTATTTTTGCTTATTTGACCAATTTTTTTACGTTTTTATAGTATTCTCCTGCAGTCTTTTTTGATAGAATTAAAATTAAAAATAATTCTTATCTTATCTACGTTGTCACGTAGTTTGTCGCCGTCCAAGGCATCATTGTAGGGTAACAAAGATATTCAAATGCTGAAAATAGTGCCAAACGTCAGAATGATCAAAAACAAAAAGGACAGTTAACATTTTGTTTTTCAGAAAAATCCCTTAGAAAATCCATAAAATCCTTTAAGTCTTGAAAGTGAAGATTTATTTTTATTTTGTTTAATTTATTAGTTAGAATTTTATAGTTTTTTTTTTTTTTAATAAAAATTTAAATTTTTTTAAATGCTTATTTTAGTGCTTATGATGTTTTTAAGCTCTTTTTTAATTGCTTATTTTAATGATTTTAAGTACTATAAGTTCCGAGCTTTGATAATAACAAAGGGCTCGGAAGTTGTTGCATTTGCATTATTTTCATAACACTATGAAAAACCTATTGGGAACATTTTGAAAGAAAATTTTAAATTTCAAACTATTTATTTTATTTTATTTTATTCTATCTTATATATTTATACCTAGATATTATATTTAGCCTAGTATAATATAGTAACAACATTTGTACTGTTATGTACGAGTATATTTAATAAAGTAGCTTTATTTATGAAGCATATTTGTACTTTTGTAAGCGCATAAGTGCATGCATATTTAGTATTTTTTAAGTTCATTAAGCTCGGAGCCCTAATAATAATATAATACGTACTGTCTACTATATAATTTAATATTCATCAGTTATTATTAGGGCTAGGGACTTCATGCCCTTAAAAAACCTTAAAATATGTATGCATTTATGCCCTAAAGAATCAATAAATATGCTATTAAAATATGTATTTAAAAAAATTATATTTGTAATAATTAATTAAATAAAAAAATTTTATTAGTAATAAATTTAATAATATTTTTATATATGATAGATATGATGATCTGAGATAATTTTTTCTTTTTTTCAAATGTTTTTTCATCTTACATTGAGTTTTTATCTAAAACAAAATACTTAAAATAGTTTTAAAAATAAATTAAATTGAAAACATTTTTTTTATTTTTAATATAGTTATAATTCTTCTAACCTTGAGCATTACATTGGACTATAAGATATTTTCTTAAGTTGGAAAATTTAAATGACTGCCTGTTATCAGCTAAAATAATTTTATATTTAGAAAAGGAACGTTACACGTCTACGGAACTTATTGGTGCAAACTTAAAAAATCGTTGGTCACTACTATCTGCAGGCAATCTATCCATAGATTCATTTTTCCATTTAAAATGTTCGAAATTTTTTGTAGTTAGCCTTAGCTTGTGCAGATTCTCCATTTTTTGCAGAATGTATACGTTTTTTATAGTTTTAATTATTTTAATGCATTCAATTAGTGCACCAATAAGACACTTTGATGTCCAAATCACGTGATATATGAAGAAATAAATCATATTATTTTTTTTATAAAATTTAAAAACTTACTCCTTCATATGAATAATTGTCAAATATGCATTTATAAAATGAAAAATGGTCAAATATGCAAAATATGCAACTATAAATTTTAAATATAAACTTGTATTGCTTTGAAACAAATTTATATATTACTTAGCTATATTTTTGATAATTATTTAAAAACATGCAAGTTCCTAGAAGTCCCGAGCCCTAGTTATTATTTTTTGAAACTTATGAAAATATTCCATATCTAATAAAAAACTGCTATGATATGTAACCAAAATTTAATAGCATCACCATAAGATATATATTGGTATCACACATTTTCAAAGCACACGATCTGGTAAAATACACGTCACCACGGTGTAGTGTGAACCCGGCTTAACGGTTATTATAGTTTTTGAAATATCCTTAAAGAAACGGTTACCGGTTACCATAATACCAAAATTAAACGATACCTGGTTACCGGTTTTAAAGAAATTTTGGCTCCTATCGAAGCCGATTACCAACTTTATTAGGAACGGTTTTAAGCCCTGATTAAAACCAAACATTCCATTAAAGAAACGTTATTCCAATGCAGCCCACATGCAACAGTCAAGTGCATCAAGCAATTGCAACAATTGCAGCACAAAGGCTGCTAATCCACATAGATCAAAATGGGATTGTACCTCATGCAATGCCGCTTTAGGTTAACTCCACACAAAAATTGTTTCAAAGTATTACAATAAGTAGTTATATCATAATAACTTTCAAATATTTAATAATTATTTTTAATATTAATTTGTTACGTAGAACCTGTATTATGATTTAATGTTAAAACCACCACTCTTCTAAAACCTATAACAATAAAGAATTGTTTTTAATTTTTTTTTCGTAATATAAATAAATTGTACTTTAATATTTCAATAGTAAAAAATTGATTAAAAAAATTTTTATGTGTGACTCAAAGGGTTAAAAAAGAAAAAGAACAAAAATGGTAGCAAAAAGGCAAATGAGAACCATATAGGGTCAGTAAAAATTCAAAAAAATTTGTTGATGACTTTTTGTAATAAAAAAATATACATTACATTTATGTTTACATATCACTTTTTCCTAAAAAAAAATAATAATAATAAAAATATACATTGTGATAAAAGTATAAGACAGTAAGTCAACTTGTACAATACACATGAGAAATATAATATAATATGAATTTAATATTATGTATGAATAATAATAAAAAAAAAAAAACACTAAGCAGATCTTTAATAAACAAGCCTGGCGTCATTTCAGTCGAATTATTTTTAGATTTTATTTCTCTAAATAATCGTATATCACAGACGATTGACAAACAAGTCAACTAAAATGACGCCGAAACATTATTGAAATGAGCAAATTCAACTAGATCATTAAAACAAACAAACAAAATAATAATAATAGTAGTAGTTATAATAATAAGAGAGAAATAAAGAGAGCAGGTATCTTAAAATGTTTAAAATTACAAATTACGTTAATTCTTTTATTTATTTTTTTTTTAATTTAAGTTGGTAACTGCCTAGAATATTTATTTGAATATATAATATAAATGATAATATATTTGATAAATTCGTATGTTAAATAAGTTTAGCAAATTAAATCCCTGTAATTTTGCACAGCCCATATCAAAATAGTTGGTTCATTTTTCTTTTTGGTTACGAATAAAAGAAAAACAAATTAAAACATAATAATAAGGTAGTTGTAGGTACACATTAAATTATATAGTTAACTTAAAAATAGTTTAATTTTAAAAGAATAAATACAACAGAAAATGAGGGTGTTAAAAAAATGAAAGATGTAATTTATGAACAGCAGAGAACTAAAATTATTAGAATACGAAGAACATTTTGGTAACTAAGTAAGGCTTATATTCTAAGGACGGCATAAATGCCATAAACTGAGCTTGCTGCCACAGAGAAATGTGATGCAAAAAAAAAAAAGCTGATAACAAGCTATTTTCAGTATCTGTCAGATGTCTCAAATACAATCTTATTGTTTAATAAACAACTTTATGCTTTCGCTTGTAGTATTTTATCACCTTATTTCTAGTTTTCCTTGTACTCACACTTACAACATTACTTTTTTTATAGCAAAATAATTGTTTATACACTATGAATGCTTAATTAAAACTATGAAAATTGCTTGAATTAAACATTCATTTATGTCCACACATAAACCTAGTTCAAACATCACAGAATTTACTAAAATCAAACATATACAGCTCCCTGCCCATCATTATCATCAAGACTAATTCTTGTGGGGAAAGATGGTCCACCACCATCATCAAAAAAACGTCTAAATGTAAACTCAAAAAATCCGTGGAATGGTCGATTACCATCCGAATCAGACATACGATTATCAGAATCAGACGAATCTGAATTTTGAAGCCGTTCTGGATCAATTGGATCAAAATTTGATGTATCAGTTGAAAACTGTATGCGTGGTACATGTGGAGGATTATGACGTCTCATTCCTCTCTCAAAATCTAGATTTTCAAAGAATGAATGTGCTTTGACTTCATCGGCATTTTTACCTAAACGTCGTTCTTTACAAGTACATAACTTTAAAATAAGATCAGCACCTTCTGGAGAAAGATTGGCGGATTGTGGTACTTGTAAAGTATTTTCCCAATTTATAACCTGCAAATAATTAATCATAATAATTATAAGAAATATAATTTCGATATATCAACAAATAATAGTGTACCTTATACTGAGTCTCTGCGGGAGTATTGGCAAGAAAAGGAGGTGATCCAACTAACATTTCATAAAGAATGACTCCTACACTCCACCAGTCACACAATTGTGTGTAACCTGTCCGAAGCAATACTTCTGGAGCAATATAATTGGGTGTGCCAACTAATGAGTGAGCTTCACACCTTTGATGCTCTCGTCGACGTCGCCTCTCTAAAGGTTTTAACTGGTGACAGCGACATTCTGCACCATTTACACCCCACTCTTCACCACCCATAGAGTCTTGTCTACAGTGTTCGCCTAGAATAAATTTGTACATTAAAATTTAGTAATTAAAACAAATAGAATATTTTTAATTTTACCATCTTGATAATATTTTGAATTATGAGTCCATCTGAACCCAGTACATAATCCAAAGTCTGTAAGTTTAATGTGACCATCTCTATCAATCAATATATTATCTGGTTTAATATCTCTATGAATAAAACCCATTTTATGAACACTTTCCACAGCACAAGTCAGTTCAGCAATGTAAAATCTAAAAACAGTTTTAATATTGAATTAAAAATAAAAATTATGTGGCAAAATATTTACCTAGCCAAATGTTCTTCAAATATTCCCAATTTAATTAACAATGACATCAAATCTCCACCAGGTATATAATCCATAACAAAGTATAAATTATCTTTATCTTGAAATGAATAATAAAGTTTAACAACCCATTCATTGTCAGCTTCTGCTAGTATGTCTCTTTCAGCTTTTACATGAGCAACTTGATTACGTTTAAGTACATGAGCTTTTTTCAAGGTTTTCATGGCATATAAATGGTTTGTATCAATTTTCCTAACTAATGTAACTTCACCAAAAGCTCCAACCCCAATAGGTTTAATTTTTGTAAACATTGATTTGTCCATTTTAGCTCTTTTTAGTCGTATGTAATTTGATTCTTTTTGTGACAACATTTTCCTCATTTGGCATTGAGCTTCCTCGCTCAAACCTATTTTAGCCATTTCTGTCTCTAATTGAACGCGTCTAAATACTCTTTGTTTATGAGACTTAATGACATTTTCTACATGTTGTTCCATAAAAAATTTAAATGCTTGAGGTGAATAATTTTTTACTTTACACTCACGTCTTTCTTCTTCTTTCTCTTTACTAATATGTTTACGTTCAGGTATAGGCGATTGATGATCAATCTTAGACTGATTATCATCTTCTTCATCATGTCCATTAGTAATGCTATTGTTATTATTATTAAAGTGATGATGGTGATTATTACAATTCATAATTTTATTTTTAGCAATAGATGACGATGGTATAGGTGGTAATGGAGGAGTAGGTTTTCTATGAGGATGGTCTTCAGCATATGGTGGTGGAGGTGGCAGTGGATTGGTAATAACTCTTTGAGCAGCCAAAGCTTGCATTGTACTTGCATAGCTAGGAGGTTCAGTTGTTGGTACAACTGATGGAGGTGATGATAATGATGCTTGCTGAGGTTGTTGAACTGCTTTTTGGGCCTGTTGTTTTTGTTGAATAGATGATGCATAAGATGGTGGTGGAACTGGTGAAGGAGAAGTAGGTGCTGGAGATTGTGGGGCAACAGCAGTTTGAAGTACAGGTTTCTGAACTAAAGTACTTCTTACTGATTGCATTATAATTGGCGACTGAGTTTTAGTTTGTCTAGCTCCCCAAGCTTGCAGAGGTGTAGGTCGAGTTAAAGATGTTACACTTCCATTTGTTGAACCAGATACAGGACTAGATGACCCTGTATTTGAAAACACTCCAGAGGATGGCGATTTTCGGTATTCTTGAATTGAAGCAGAATATGAAGGTGGCGGTGGAGGTGCTCCAACTAATGGATAAGGTGGTGGAGGTTCAGCAGTAGTCATACTTAAGGCTTGCATTTGTTGAGATAATTGTTGCTGTGCTTGTGGACCATTTTGAACTACCATAGGTGAAGTACCTCTTTGATTAGAACTACATGAAGTCCCTGGTGTAGGTGCAGGTGGACGAGAAGGAACAGCAGGTGCTGGTGACATACGCTTAAGCAACTGTTGCATGTGTGTTGGCACATGAGGAGGTGGAGGTGTACTATTATTCCTAGGTGGAGGAGGAGGAGGAGTTTCTGAATATGCAGAAGGAGAATATTGACGAGATAAAGGAGGATGAGAGTGGATGACTAGATCAGGTTGTCTTGGGCTATCTGACCTTGAGCTTCCTGCACCACTGTCTTGGCCAGGACTACTTCTTGGCCCCACTCCACTTCTTTCTAAACTCGATTTCCTGATTAATTTATTACTACTACATAATCCTGCAATACAATAATAAACATATTTCAGAATCTACACTTTGAATAATGTTTATAAATAATAAAAATATTACCCGACGAAGATTTGCTACATCCATTTGATAGATCACATTGTTGCTGTTTAGCTAAAAAATCTAAAGCACCCTCACATCGTCCACCAGATACTTTAAGTGCTCGTAATGATGCTTCCTAAAAAATATATCAAGTTTTTTTTATGTAGTAAACAATTAAAACATATTAGGCACATTAATTACTATTTTATTTTTTACATATTGTAAGTCACATTATAAATTTAAAAAGACATTAAGTTTCAATAATTGATAGCAATTCTTGCAATGAGAACTTATCTGGTTTTATTTACTACAATTGTTAATAAATGTTACTAATCACCATTAATTAAATGTTTGCTATATTATATAAAATTAAAAAAATGTTATTTTCAAGTACAATCTTTGTTAAATATAAAATTATATCTACATGTATTGATTTTGTTGAAAAACAATTTTTCAAATCTCTCACTTCAGTCAAATTCTAAAATTCAGTTATTAAAAATTTTAAATAAATTAATTGAAATATAAAATAAAATTATTTTATAAAAACTACTATTTAATATTTTGTTTTTATTTTCACAACCATAACCAAACATAAAAATGTTAATGATTCTTATAAAAACAAATTGTTACACTAATGACAATACCACATATCTACATTTCACTTATTGTTTAGGAAAGTGAAAAAACTGAATAAATATTAATAAATATTATACATCTCATATTATTATCAAGTTTAAATTTATGTTATGATTATTTAACATTATTTTAATACATTTTTTTAAATTTGGTTGCTGTTTAAAATTTAGTGTAGTTACTTAGTATTTACTTAAGATTTTGTGAGACACATGCTAATGAGCAGTGCTTTAACTTTAACGCGGTTAACATTTATAAAAATACTAAATAATGTATCCAATTTAGAGGGGAAATAATTTATTTTAGGTTATATTTTAAGTCATAATAAATTTTGTGCGCAAGGAGATAACAAATATTTTGATACCAAAAACTAATTTTATGTAAAATGTAAGGTACGTGGTATTCATTAGTAGTGGCGTAAATACGGGGGAGGGGTCCGGGTTCAAACCCTCCCTAGGGCCAAAAAAAAAATTCTTTTATTATTGATGACGTATAATATATTCGTAGTTTTATTTTTACGCTTTAAACTAAAAATATACAACTATACAAATATTATGATAATTAAATAATTATATTGATAGGTATTAGAAGTTTTGTTAACTATGCTGTTTTTATATTCCAATAGCTATTAATTTACTGTAATGTTAAAGTAAACTGTAAATTGGTAAAAAAAGTTGTATAAAATAATATCTATTTATAGCAGTTATTTATCTGTGCAACGAAAAAAAAAAGATAACGATTATTTATTTTTGTTAACCCTTCCCTCCCCCAGAACAAGATTGACCACTGATCATTAGTGTAACAATATGTAGACTAATTGATCTACCTTAAGTAATATATGAGAAACAACAAATTGACCAATAGCTAAAAGTATCACGAAAATATTTTACTAACAAAAAAATACTAAGCAATTAATATTAACTAATTTAATTAATCATTAATCACTACCATTAAAATTAATAAACAAAAATAAATGTTAAATAATATTTGCTATACTATAAATAATTTATTTCTTATCCTTACACAATATTTACCTAGAAAATATAGATTTTCAAAAACCGGGTTTTAAATAATCATTGTCATATTATAAAAAAATATGTAAAATAAATAAAGAAAATGAAAAATAATGTGAAATTGCTCATTAAAAAATTACAGAAATCAACATTTTTACGGGAATTTATATCAATATTATTTCCATAGTGCCATTCAAATTCAGTTTAAAGAAAATTTAAATTAGAGTAAAAAGTTTAAAAAATGATATATGTGATAACCTTGAAATTTTTTTGTAATTTTTTTATTAAAATAAACTGATTCTATACTAAAATAATTTAAAATTAATAAACTACCATTGTAAGTAAATGTTTCAATAGGGAACAAAACAAATGAGCCAGATAGATAATAAAAGATGCTTTGACATCCTCATAAAATGATTTATTATTTTAAATAATAAATATATTATATTTTGTTAGTTATTGTCAAACGATAATTGTATTTTACATTATATTATACAATATACTCGAAACGCAACAACACTGATATAAAAGTGCATAAAGAATACTCAAGACGTTTTCATTATTAATGTATTAGACTACAATACCTAACCTAAGGTAACCATATTACTTCATGCTTGATTAAAATACTTGTTTCTATTACATAATCCTAATTGTGCTACACATAACAGATTCAATCAAATATTTTCGGGGTTCGATTAAAAAAAAAAAAAAAAAAATAGAATATAACATAACATATATAAATAACCATTACAAACTTCAACAAAATATGTTTCAACATTTAGAATACGATAAAATTTATATTATTATTATATTTATTTTATATTATTTAATATTTAATATTTTTCATGAAATATTTGCCAAAATCAGATTCTTAACATTGAAATGTCTACATACTGTGAAACTTTTTTAAGACTCATTTATTGGAATAATTTTTAAAAATATTCACACATTTTCGCAGTAAAAGGTTACAGTAACTATTCACAGTTTATTAAGACAAAGGAAATTAGTACATTTATCAAATTCCGTTTTAAACAGGATCCATCAAAAATAAATTTCACTCTACAACAAAATTATGTTTTAAGTTATTTAATAATAAAAAAAAAAAAGAATAAAAGGATCTAAATAATAAGTTCCCCATTCGAAAATGTTACCAAATACCTACTTCATAAAATTGTGACAAAAATAACGAGTGAAAATAAAACTGGAGCCTGTATTTTTATCTAATTTAGTGTAACTGTCAACCAATGGCATTTTTTATAATGTTTCGAGGTGAAAGAAAATGTGTTATTGTCATGTAACAACTGGTACTTGGATAGCAATTGCATTCTTACATGGTCGGTAAAAGATAAAAGAAGCTAATAAATATATTATTTCTGTAAATACTAAAAACAAATGAGAAAAATTATTATAACGTTATAAAATACGTAAAAAAATTATTATTTAACAGTGTGAAATGACAATTTATACATCTTAATTTATAAATTAAAATCGAAAAATCTATAATATTAAGTCAATAACAAAATAGAAAAGTAAATATTAAACGGTTTTATGTCTAACGATAACATGGCATTTAAAATATAACAATTTAATGAAAATAGTTCAAATTTTGTTTTGTTCATGCAATGTTCAGGAGTTCATCTGACCGAATAGATTTAATGAACAAGCTAAGTCTAGTGAAAGTAGCACAATAATATTGGGTAGGTCTCTCTAATTGAACTAGAAAACTTATTTTAAATTTTAATCAACATCATTTTTGTTCATTTTAGCACAACATAACGCATAATAATTAATAAGTAATAAGCAAGATTGAAATTCCTCTCTAGTAATAATAGCCAAGCATTATAGTCACGAGCGTACCCAAATACCCAATTTCGCACACACGGACAAATGTATCTTTATAATCAAATGCAATTAATATCGAAAAACGTGTCTACACTGGTGTAATTACACGGACCGGTTTCATCTGTCCTTCTTACTCGATCAATCACAAAATCCGCGCATACAACATACACAATATACTTCCACGAAGTACAAATTCATGGGAAACGCAGGTCTCAATTACCTCACTACGGTTCCTTAATACAGACACAAAACCTGAACTATAACAAAATGTTTTCCTATCTTCTTAAAATAATCAAGAAAACCTGTTTGTCTTAACGGGGTTTATCCATTTGTATTTATCACTAAGTGCATAATTTGTAATGCGTTTATGCAAACTATATTGTAATAATAAATCTGCGATTTTTATGATACCAGTATTTTATAACGAAAATCGCATCCAGCTTAAAAGTTGTAACAATTGGCATGGTTCGAATTAAAAAGTTCAAATCAAGTGTTAACAAAAGTTAGGTACATAATATTATAAATAATAGAAAAAATGATTGTTCTAATTATTAATAAAATACATGTTTTTACTTTAAATAATTTTAGCATAAGTAGGAATAAATATTATGACCTAATAAAATTAATAAAAGAGCGAATTAAACGAAATAAATGACATTACTTGCAAAAATCATTGGACTATCAGCAATAAAAGTATATACTAAATATATTAAATATCTACTTAAAATGTGAAAACTAATAGTCTTTAAATTTAAAGTAAATATAAATTATAAGTAGTATAATTAGAAAATAAAATAGATGAAGTCTTCAGATATTAAATTTCCTATGCGACACGACAAAGAATTATTAAAAATGATTGTCTAGAAATCACAAAAATGAAAGAAGTATTATTTTTACGATATTATTGGAAGATATTCAGTAAGAATGTTATTTATTAAAATTATTTATTTTTATTTTCTTATTTGTTTGAAAGGCCTCAGACTTCACCCTAGAGGCACAGAACAAGGCCACTGACACCTTTTTATTGAATCTCACATTCCAGAGACATGTGTTCATGCAACAGTGGTTACTAAAATTGAGAAATACATCTAGATATATTAAGTTTCATATTGAATTAAAATAAATTAGGAGATTAAATTACTTTTTACATTCTTATAATTTTTAGACAAAAAAAATAGTTAAGCTTTACAAGAAACAGACAAATTAAACAATTTAATTTTTACCAGACAACATAAATATTTTTCATTTTTTGTCAAAATAATAAACTGGTTTAACAAGTTTAAATTTTTTTATAGATTATAAAATAACATTTATGTATGTAATATAAATATCAACAAAATGAAACAACGTAGACAATTTGATAATGCCCAAACAAAGAATAAACAATGATCATTCAAAATAAACTATAATTTTAGGTAACAGTAAATAATATAGCAATAAGCTTAATAAGTAGTTTAAACTTATTTTACTTAATTAAAACTTAAAACTTTATTATATATATTACTTTATATCTATTCAGATTCTATTTAATTTTTTTAAAAAATCCTAAATAAAATCAAATATATATCAATTGTTAATAATTGGGTTAGTTATGAATGCATTTCATCTATTTACCTCTTATATTGTACCTAACTCTTGTATTTAACTCTTATAAAATATAAAAGACAAATTAAATTGAAATAAAAATTATACTATTAAAGAATAAATATTTAATTTATTTTTAAACTACTGGATAATATTTTTAATTTTATTTGTTAACAAAGACATATATAAAATTGATAATATAATAGGTTTCTACAAGAAATAATTAATTTTAAGGAAAATAATAGTTAAATTAGTTTCAAGTGATATAAACAGTAACTGGTCATATATCATACACATGGTTTTAATTATAAAATGTATGTACTTATACATATTTTTTATTAACATTACATAACTTGGATATTTATAAATTTAATAAAAATATAAAGTAAAAAAGGTATTTTAAGTGTTTTTTTTTCTTATGAATATAAAATCATGGGAAAATATGCAAGAATTTAAAATATAATATATTCAATTTATATTTATTACCAGTTTTGTTTATACAATTAAAGCAATAAATAACTAAGTGATTAATGAAGGCTTTTAAATAAAATATGTGTATATCCAGGGTATTGTGTTAAAAAATAAAACGATAAATTAAAATAAATAACTATTGTTTTATAATATATATTCTACACATAACATATTAATTGCCTAAGATATTTCTCTGCATTTCATTATTAAGCCATTTCAAATTAATATGCTAAATGATTCTTAATAAAATATGATGAAAGTATTGTTAATTTGATGAATTTTTTTTTTTTTTTGGAAATTGTTTAAACCACTTATAAAAATATATTACTTTATAAATATATTTAATAAACATTAAATAGTAATAAAAATAGAAGAAAATTTTTTTATATAAATGTATATTTTAATTATTTAAAACAAGTTAGTTGATCCTTAACTGTTTGGGGTCAGTCATCATGGTTTTCCATATACTAATGTCTTGGATCTCCTACATTAATATATATACAAATTGTCTTACAAAACTCTTAAGTACATTTAACCATCTTTCTCTTCTATTTTTCTCCTACCCTAATTTTTATAGTTACATTAACAATATCTTTATAATTTCCTTCATAATATAACCAATATATAATATTTCCTTCATAATATTTTAACCTATTCTCTCATTTTATTTTATTAACAATTACCCAAAATATATTTTAATACATTCACTCTTCAATTAGTTATAGTCACATCATACAACCATTTGAGTACATACATGATTTATACTCTTTGTTCATTTCTTTTTATACAGCCTTATATTTAAATTGATAAATTACTGCCTACCTCTTAATCTAACCTTATATTTCAATTTGACTGGTATTATTTATGACTCAGAATAACTAATTAATACTTTGTTCCCCATTCATCAACATTTTATTTACTTTTTATCAGCTAGGTTATTTTATAATAATCTTTTAAACCAATAAAGTTTTTCCTCTATATTGACACTCACTTTTATTTGGGTTAGTTTAAAATTAAAGAATATTCATCATTCATCAACATTCGGGTAATTAGATTTAACAAGAGTAGGATCACTCTAATTTATAACTAAATCATTTCTTACCATATTTTGGATACTGACATATTCAAACCGTGATCGGTCGTGCCGAACTAAGTCAACAATTACGATCGTGCCACGGCATCCCAAAAAAAATATATATTTATACAAGACAAAAATATAGCTATTGAATATAGATATGCAATAATATAAATAATATACATCTATAAATTAAGTATTTAAATCAATTAATAGATTTTAATACTTCTGTACCATAATATAGTTCTTAAATTACATATTTGAATTTATAAATTAATCTATCCATACATATATATATATGTGTTATATCTGCATATTGTAATCATAGTTTTCACAAAATGGATATCTATTAAATGTTTAGTATTATACATTGCAATTATTTTTAAAGAATATAACAATGCCAATACGTTTCCTGACATGATATAAGAGTTCAGTGACACACTTAATTATTTTATATAAATTTAATTTAATGTTTTTAAAATCTTATAAAAATATAGATACATACTATTTAATAAACTAAGAAATAATGACCCACTATAAATAAGACTTAAAAAAATAATAAATAACATTTGAGCGGCTAAAATTAAAATTTAAGTACAAGTTAAAATATTAATTATATCAAAAGGTTTATGAAAAAAATGAAAAATGAATTTTTTTTTTTTTTTACATAGATAGATAGTACCCAATAAATTCTTATAAACGTTATAAGGATTCTTACATAACAGGACATGGAAATGTCAAATAACAAGTATCAATAAATACAAAATTTTGAAACCAGCAGTAAAAATCTTTTATCGTTCTGAATAATATGAAATTTAAAGTAAGAAACTAATCGCTAACTAGTCATCAAACCAATTGCTACAAAAGAAAAAAAATCTAATTATTTTGTGATTAATATTGTTATAATAAAATTATTTTATCACAGTTCACAATACAGATATTCTTTTAATGAAAATTATGATAACACTATGTTTATACAACATATATATTAAGTATGTATATAGAATAATATATCAAAATATTTTATAATATTCTAACTTATTATGTAGATAATACCAATGGCAAGGTGTCATTAAAAACAAAATGACTTTGTCCAATTAAATTAAAATTTATGTCTAATGTTATTTAAATAACATTGTAACGCCACAAAAATGACAATATATTACATTGAAATTTGTACGGTTATTAATTTAGTATTTAATTATTTTATGGAATTTGTCAATTTGCTCAATTACACTTCACTATTGGATAATAAAAATAGTTCTTACTTCTGTATAACCCATCGCGATTAATTGAGTAAGTGTCTGTCGTAAAGCGTTGAGCTCTTTATCAACACAATTGTTTGAAAGAGAACTTAAACCAGACACAGACCCAATACCAGAAGTGGCTGATCCAGAAGCACTAGAGATGCTTGACACACAGCTGGCAGCGCTGCTGTCGCAGCCACCAATATTAGCGAAGGGCAATAATGAGTTGCGGATTTCGGCCAATGCCTTCTGGCGGTAGCCCGACGATGATGATCGGGTAGATGGTTTGCCCGATGCAGGCGCCGCAGAATTCATACTGGCGACAGCTTCCTCGGGCGGCCCATGGCTAACTGGGGGCCGAGGATACACAGACTACACACTCACACACATCGCACATATAGTACGCAATATGCGCTGGAACATGGATCAGTTTGGATACCAATCACATTGTTGACATTGAAGTAATGTAGTTACTTAAATTTATATAAGTACTCTGATCCTTTACAAATAAAAATAATAATTCCTGAAACATAAAATCCAATTATTTAATAATTTAATCAAAATACACAAAATAATTGTAATAATTACCTATACCTATTAGAATATTCAGTTAAATGTATTTTATATACTATAAGAAATTACTTAAAACCTAGAATTAAACTATCAATCCATTGTTGATAATATCATAATTAATGGCAATAATTGTTGAATCAGCTTATAAAATCAAATAACATTTGATTATCAATACTCAAAATGTATCCTTTTATTCTAAAGCTCATATCTGATAAACATTGAAGAAAAATCCAATGCTGTATTAAAATATAAAATCATTAATTATAGAAAAAAACTACTTATCTAATAAATTTGTTACTTTACTTATCTAACCTCTAGAATTGAACGCGGTAAACAAAAAACAGACATAAGGCATCCTATGTATGGCCAAAATGACCTCACTTCCCGTCTGAAATCAAGAAAATCTTTCCTAAAAGTAACTGAAGAGCTAACAGAAACACCCTTACTAAGCAGGATATGTGAGTGGAAAAAACTGATAACTTACACCAACGGTAAAAGATAGATGGAACCATCAGAAAGACTACCTCCTGGTAACAACCTAAAATGGCCAGTATGGAAGACACCAAACAGACTGTGTGTTGGTGTAGGACAGACAAAAGAAAATATGAGAAAATGGGGATATGGAGATCAAGACATAAATTGTATATGTGGACAAGAGCAGACAATGTCACACCTACTTGTTTGCCCAGGAGGGCCAAGTCCATATACATAAGAGGATTTTATGATAAGCAACAAGGAGGTAAATACAACCATATACTGGACAAAAGAAAAAATATAATTATTATGCAATGTACACATGCAATACTTGTTACCATCATTTTAGTGTGTTACTATTACGTGTATTTTACTTATTTGATATTAATTATTTAGTTTTGTTTTATAAATTACTTATTTATTTTAATTTTAAATATATGATGCCTGACACGAAAAAAAAAATGCTACATGAATACTATTCACAAAAAATTCAATTAAAAATCGTAGTTTAGGAACTTAAACTAAAACTAATTTAATTTATATTATAAATAAAATTAATGATTAAGTAATAAATAAATATTTAGAGACTAATACTATTAAAAATTAAAAATTGTTCACAACACACTATAAATGCCACCTTAAGTTATGCAAGACTATAAAATACAAACTGAGCACTGAGAAGATAAGTTTAAAAAAAATATTAATTTTACATGAGACATTTTTATACAGAACAAATTAGGTATGAAACCAAAGAATTTAAAGTAACAATAAATTAAAAAAGTAAAAAAGTATGAAGAGTTTTAATTAAAACTAACATTGTACATGTACTGTACATTTGTAATTGTGGTATAAATGCATTGAAAAGAAACCCTAACTATTTACCTAATGTACTAACTGATTATCAAATACTTCATCAACACAGCTACAATAATGAAATTTAGAATAACAATAAACTTTATGTCAAAAATAAAATAATCAACAGATTAATTGTCAAAATGATATTGCTGTTATGAGAAATATTATAGAAATTAGTTATTTCTAAGAACAAATAGAAAATTGATAAAGCAACAGATGTTAAGAAAATAGACAAAATGGTCAAATAACAGAAAAATAATATAAAATGAGAAAACTGTATTACATAAAATGCTGATAATTATTTTTAATAATAAATTTAGGATTTAGATTTCTATTTCATAAGGTATAAACATCAACATTGTTAACAGATATTTTTGAACGACAAAGGAACATGAAAATCAATCCTATGTAATAAAGCAACTTACAGTGATGTATACCAATGAACATATTATATACTGTGTTATGACATACACGATGACTGGACTGACCAAACCTATAGCTGACCGTCCTGTCTTTGCTGACAAATGACAGCTGGTCAATTAACTCGGAAGTCGATTGGTATAATTGGTGGTAAGATACCAACGATCAAGCGCAACACTTATGCGACAAGAACCGTTAGCTACTACAAGGTGTGAGGCTGTCTGAATGCCACGAGAAGAATTTTAAGAGACAAACACTGGGCTCAACACAAGGGTAACGTGGACGGTGGTCAACGGGTACGCGGAAATTTGCGGTATACTGACCTTAGAACCGGCGGCACGTCATTTCTATCCCGTTTTCGGGTGCACGCGACCAACAAGAGCCTTTGGACGGTGTAGAACACAGGGCTCGCGGCACTTTCCGCACATTTAGAACGGACGAACGGCGATCCCAGGCGCGTTATCCTTATCTGATATCTTCAAAGCAAAGGCGCACACACGCACACACACACACATACGCACGCACGTCACATACGCGAGAGCGCGGACCGATATCGCGTACGTCGAGTTCGAGACACGGTGGAAAAATAAATAAATTAATAATATTTTAAGGTATAATAATAATATTGTAATGTATCAGAAACGAAAACAAAGAGTCTACGTTGTCGAGTGAGCCATTATCATGGCCGCCGCCATATTGCTACAACATTCCGATGTCCCCCCCACCACGAGTAGATAATTAAAACTAGTCGAAAAATAACTGCACGGTTAATTAACACAAATGTTCGAAAGCAATCGTAAATAAATATATATTTTATTATTTTCCTCGACGACCTTTTTTCATTTTTCCATTACACTATATTATTACAATTATTATCACTAACGAAAACAAGGGAAACATAAAAACCGTTCTCGATAAGATATATATATGTATGTTGTTTTTTTTTTTCCAAGGCAGCGGTGTCGGCAGCCGGTGACAGCCGTGTCGTTTCGGTGGAACAGGAGTTGAACACAATGTTCGACGTTTTTTTCACTCGTTACTTCTGAACAATGTCTTACGGGAAAATCTCTCACGTTTCCGTCATTCGACGGGAGACCGTTTGCGCGTGTGACCGTTCGTTTAACCGTCGGTCGAAAAATGTTCCAACTCGTCCCGAACGGAACAAGTAACGACGGACGAACGGCCAGAAGCACTGCGCGAGACGTGGTGTTATTGACTTTATTAACCCGCGACCTTTTCTATAGGTTTTCCGTCGTCGGACTCGCGAGCGGCAGACGAGACGACGATCGCACGCGCGCACAAGACACCAGCGACCGCGGCCGGTACGATGATGATAAAAATATATCGGCGCCCCCGTGCGCGTTTCGTGTTGCACGCCGGCGTGGCGGACGAGTAGGAACCCGCCGAGGAACCACTGGTATAGAAGACCGCTTCGGCGTGTACCTACGCGTGTGCGTGTGCAAGCGAACGAATAATGTGTTATGTGTCCGTATGAAAATACCACGTACCTACGGGTTATCCGCGCGGTGGTACAAGAGCGACGCGACCCGACAGGAAAACCGGATCCCGCGCGTGTATCGCCGAACCGGCGGCCGATCGTTGGCTTACACGAAATTATTATTATTATTACTGTTATTACTATTATTATTATTATTATTATTATTATTATATGCATTCCGCTCGTCGTATAGTCGCCGTGCGGACGCGTCGTTGTTACGGCGTGCGCGCGCGCCGCCGCCGCCGCCGCTCGTGTATGTATGTCGAGGAATGCTCGGAATGCTGGCGACGGGGATGTTGACGTGAAACCACGTACGAGATATACGAAATTAAATTATTGTGCAATCTCTGTCGTATGCATTGCTGCCGCCGCGTGCGTACGCGCGAACGCACGCACGCGCGCACACGTACGGGCTTACAACATTTTTCGCAGGCGCGTGTGTGTGTGTGTGTGTGTAATTTACGTTCTCGTACGCGCAAACCGGCATAGTCGTGATCACGTGGTGGTGGCGGTGCGACGAGTGGGCAGCGGCGCGGGGACGAAATCTAGACCGCGGCCGGCGATGCTGTTGCGCGCGCGAACATCTCGCGAGTCGCTGCCGCCCGTCCGTTGAAATGGCGAAATTTCCGCGCGATCCGTTGCACCGCCACCGCCGCCGCCGCCGGCTGTTGACGAAACGCACGTGACCGCCGTCGCGCGATTAGCCTTGGCGCAACAGCTGCAGCTCCTCTCGCGCACCTCGCCGCCGTCGGCCATTTACAACACTATCATAATTATTGCACTGTTTACTATTTACTATTATAATAATAATAATAATAATGCACGTTTCTATGTACGTCATCGTCCGCACAGTCAAATGGTACACGCACGGCCGCTGAAAGTCAGACATTTTCCCCGGCGATCGTAATATGCGCTTCGGTTTTTTTATCGCATATGTTTATTTGTGTGGTGCCTGCACGCTCGTTTATTTCGTGCTGGTCCGCAACAGCGGCGTATTTTGTATTTTCCAAGAGGTTGTGGTGTTCTACTGCCTAATTTACTGTGGTCACATAATCAACGTGCTTTTAGAAATAACGTAGACCGTAGATCAATCAAGCTGAATAAAATAACGATAAAATTATGCTCAGTTTTGTCATACTTTTAAGGATTTTAAACACTCGTCGAAAAACAAATTCGACGGTTTTGTCGAAAAATAATTACTCGGAGAAATAAAAAATGAGCTCAAGAGGGAGGAATTACCCGTTACTGTTATGCCGCCGTGGTAGAGGTAGAGTTGCAGTTCTATTCTGTACAACGCTTTTAAACTCGATAATAATATTACTGTACAAGTAATAGTAATAGTCTACCGCAGGCCGCCGACTGTTTTTGTTATTAATATTTTTTTATTTGCTTTCTCTTCGGACACAACGCTAGTATTTCTTGACGCGCATCCGATAAAGATTATATTTAAATGTTTTTCAAAACTCTTGAAATTTCTTAATACTTTTTATCGTGTCTCGTTGTGTAATTTTATACACATATAGTGGTTTTTACGTGTTTTTATTACCCGCCTTAAATCTTAAATCAGTCCCACACACGTTTCGTAAAACATAAAATATATGCGCTGCATAAAAATGTTTAGGTATATATGTGTTGCACTTGGACTAGGTTCTACATATATATTATATAGACGTACTTAAGAAGGTTTTAAAGTATACATGGTTTTTTTTTTTTTTTTACATCAAATCAATTGTATGAATAAGATTACAAGCTTTAAAATATCTTGATAAATCTAGGCGGCTAGTATTTCCATTGATTTTATTATAATCTATTATAAAACCTTATTTGCAGACTTATATTTTGTATCTGTTATGTTATCTGATCTATAATATATGGTTTTTTTTAATGGTTATTACTATTAAATTATTACTTCTTATTTAAATTTTATATATTTTATACATGTATATATATATATATATACGTACATATTATTTATGCTCGTAGAAAGGGTAGATATCATATATTTAACAAAATTATTTGCATGTATTACATAATTATAAACTTTTAAACATGATTTCATAAGTGATACATTTAACGATAATTCCATGTTATGTATTAACAACAATCATTATTATACATCTAAAGCAAATAGTTTTTAAATAATTTTCAGATATTTTAATGTAAAATTAAGTGTGAAAAAATACATATGTATAATTACTTAATATAGATTTTATTGGTACACACTATATACCAGTGCATTTTATAAGGAATTTTCACTCGCCGACAAAAAATGTTTTTCTCAAAATAGTCGATGCATAATACCATAGTACGATTAAAGTATTACACGTTTGCTTCACATTATTTCGCTCAATTATTTAAAACACTGTCGATAGAGTATAATCACTGGGTGACATTTGTGTCGCCTAGTTAACTAGTTAAAAAATGCACTGCTATACACAAATTTTAAAATGTATAAATTAATCTAATGCATTGGATAGATGTATGTTGTATTCGTGCACATGTATCATAATTACCTACTCCAACAGTCAACACGCTTGCTTAATATAGCATGTAAATTCATCCCAAATTATAAACGCTATAATCTAAACATCATTTATGATTTATAAATATTAACATACAATTTAATATTTAAAATGAATAAATATATTATCCAATATGGCGTAATACAATAAAAATAATCGTTTAAAAAAATAATAATTAGGGATCAACTGTAGGTGGTAATTACCAATATAATATTTTATTAGCACTTTGAACATTGTTTAATTGTAGTAAGTAATAGGTTATATAATAGGTATATAAATACAACAGTACACACAAAATACATGTTAGATATTATGTAATATTATAAATATTGAAAATTCTATGTTAATGAATATTTTTAATACAATTGAAATTCAAATGTATAAACAATTAATTTCTGCCTAGTTATCAAATGTAATAGTTGAAGTTGAATACTTTAATAATAGTATAGTAATTTTACGGTTTTTAATTCAAAATATAGTTTCATATGTAAAGGAAAAATAAACAATAAGATACAATAAGTATAATCGTTGAAAAGAAAATATCAGTTTTAAAAATTTTAAGTACTATACGTATTTACGAATAAGTTTATAACTGAAATATACAATATGATACCTACATTTGTATGCGCGTCACGGGTGTATCATATTATGTTAGTCATATAGTATAAATTATGAAAATGAATGTTTCTAATTGTTAGTGAGTATTTCAAATACCTGTAAGCTATACAGATGAATATATACATATTTGTACCTTTTTTTGCTTTGTGATATTCGTCCTTCAAGCCCAGCATAATTGTCTACAGTTTTCCCTTTCTATTACCATCCAGTTCTTTCCTGGTCTTACTCTTTCCACGTCCTTTCTTACCATGTCTTCCCACCGTAATATCGGGCGTCTCAGTGGTATTTTTCCTTGTGGAGCATTTTCTAGTACCTACTATGGTTCTTAGCAACGATTCTTCCTTACACCATGCGTGTCCTGTCCATGTGAGCAAGGGTGCCCATATGGGGAGGTAAGGGAGGGACATGTCCCCCCCTGGAATATATCAAAAATCTTGAAAAATTGTTTACTATGATAAGAATATATTTATTTAAATAGAATTTAAAAAATTAATTTAATATATGAAAATCTATAATTTGTTTATGAAAAACCTATTTAGTTTAGAAAATCAGGTTATCAGCTATAAATAAAAATACACTTTTTCGTTTCTATTCTATGGATAATTATTAATTCTTAAAATATTGTGTATCTCTAGAAATACGGTATGTATATGTGTGTGTATACATCACCATAATATTTATAAAATATTTGTAAATTAATATTTTAATAAATATAACTAATGTTATAAGTGTCCAATTTTTATTATTAATTAAATACAATTTTTAATAAATTACTTTTATGGTAAATTGGTTAAATAATTATTATTTTATTGTCTTCCAGTTTGATATATATATATATATAATGTAATAGTATAATGTAAAATTGTAAGCCCCTTCCTCTACCGTGTGTCATTCCTATTTATGAATAGATTGATAAATTAAAATGTTGTCCCCCCCCTTGAGAATTTTTCCTATGGGCGCCCTTGCATGTGAGTCGTGATCACATCACATTACAGTGATGTCTCCCACAATACTCAAGTTTTAATATAATTCTTTTAATTTTATATATTTTGTATGATGTTATTAAATCAAGATTTAAGATATCACAGTAAATATATTTTATACACGTGGTATGAATAACTACGTCAAATTTCATAAAAATACTTATGTGTAATCAGTTTTTATTCATGTGTTATGATTAGGACTGGGATTTTTTAATTCTCTAAAAAATAACAAAAAATACAAAAATCTTTTTAAAATGACAACAAATGAACTATAAAATGCGTTAAAAATCATTTATTATAGTTTAAAAAGGATATTATAAAAATCATATTACCAAACATATTTAATTATATTTATTTAACATATATAATAATAAAAATAATAGTATTAATAATAAAATAGGCACCTATTTGTTTAATAAATACATTTTATTTAACTTTACTGAAATTTGATCGTTGGACTCTTGCAAATAGAAATATGTCTTTCAATTATTTTAATTTTGTTCTATTTTTAATAAAATATGTACATGAACAGATATGATCGTATTTATTAGTTTATCAGTTTAGTAGATAACATATTAAACATGCATGTTTTGAGCGAATAAATGCCGAAACACGAAATCAAATACCCTAATATTTAAGAATTAATAGATAAATTCTGAAAAATGTTCTATATACTTGAAAAATGCCATAAAAACAACAAAATAAACCCTGAAAATGCATATAAATTTAAATTTTCATAAAATACAAAATAAAAACTATATTTAATCAATCAGTTGAATAACATGCTTACGGACCTACGTGTTGGGACATTAGAAAAAAAAATGCATTTGCATCAAAATCCCAGCCCTAGTTATGATTGTAAAACATTTATTTACTACTGCAGTCATGAATCACGA